AGTGTAGGGAGCAAGATCAAAGACACAAAATATATTGTTTGCACTTGAGACGGAGTTTATATCATTTATCGTATGGAGTGCAACAGGATACTTAAATATAATATTTTTAGATTTATTTTGAACAGGAAGTTCTTGGAAGAACTATTCTCCTACTTTCCTTGATACGACAAGGACCGCATAGAAAACTACATGTCCAACAGTTCTTTCATTGTTGCGTCTGAATTCATTGCTGATGTAAAGTTTTTCCCGCGCCGTTGCTTAGCAACGAGAGGGGAATATACATATAGACACATGGGCTGTTGGGAGGGAAAGCAGGCAAGAAAGAAATCAGCATATGAGATCACCATGCTGTTTATGTCTGTGTGTTTGTGATCCCCCNACGTCGTGTTTTTATTTGTTATCTTAAAAAAACCAGGACGATGGATAAAGTCCAAAAACCCAACATATCAGTGTGTTGGTATATATAGCATGACACCTGAACCCATCAGAACGGCGTAATTCTTAAATGCCTACGCCGACCAAGCGACCGCCGCTTGTCGGCGAAGTTAAATGCCAACTTAGCAGATAGAGGGTGTCGGGTGGTCAGCGCAACGGATCCCCACGGCCGTTAATCTCAGTTTTCTAGACCGGAGCCGCTATTTCCTTGAAGTAGCTCCTCATTTATCCTCATGAGGCTGAGTGAACCCCGTTCCAAACCCACTACTTCTTAGATAATCTGGTAGCGCCGGGAATCAAACACGGGGCCTCTGGATCTGTAGCCAGGAACTCTGACCACTAGACCACAGAGGCGGTCCCAGCCTATGAAACACTGCTTTAAATAAAAAAAAACAAAACACGATGACGGATATTATTAAAATGTATATAATTGTTCAGATTTTGTTTGGCTCTCTAGTTGCTTTGGAAAGTGATAAAATTGTAAGACTGGATGTCGTAAATTGAACTGCCGCTCCTACTTGTTTTAAAGAAGGACATTTCTTCGTGTGGGCACTCGGAGCATTGCAAAAGATCAGAACAAGAGAAGCAAACCAGACCCCAGAGCACACGCAGACAGGCGCGGCATATCCTCTCCTCTTCTCGAAACATCTCGGCCCTGGTACTGCCCCTTTCTTGAGCACTTAAAAAATTTAAACACTCGTAAATATGTCTGCCTAGTTTATGACTACCAAAATAGGATCAAAAGTTTAGAACGGAAGCTCTTGAAGGGTGAAGGACGACAGTGAACCGAAGGGTAAGCGTGGATTAAATTATCCGGTGGGGCAGTTGCTGGTGTTTGTTTCTTTTTGGTAACTTTCTGGTTGGCTTGCTCGCTGCTTCCTTCCCCTGACGTCACTGAAGTCGTTTTGTATTACTTCTTTTTTCTGTTTAGTCTGAAGTATATAGTCCTTTCAGATAACATCTCGCATTGTATTAACAAGGAGCACTGTATTATTTGACGATAATTTAACTCCGATAGTTTATACTTCAGAAACCTGAAGAACAGCCTAACAGTTGGTGTAACTGAACTAATACAGATGCAATAAAGTAACAAGTTTATGTAATTTACGTAATCCTTCTGACCAAGTTTGGTAAGGACTCGATCTTCTTAGTTCCAAAGCACCCTTTAATTTAAAGAGGCTATTTCCAGAAAGACGCCAAAACTGTCATTCACAAAAACAGAAATTTAATTTAGTAATTTCCATTGTTCTGTGCATTGATCATTATTCTGGGCTTTTATACTGCCCTGGAGTGTCTTCATGGTTCTGAGGAGCTGTTTCTATCCCTGTTTCCAATGACAATAGCCTCCCTCATTTTAATAAACAGGAACTACTGTAATCACTGAGAATGTGTAAAATAAAAATTGATGCTTTGATGGAAATCTAAGTTTTGTGGCCCTCAAAGTAAATATTTACCACATTTTGTTTGCTGTACCAACAGTTGAGAGTGAGAGAGTCAACATGTCTTCACTGCAAATTCAGTTTAATACGTCCCTTAACAGTTTTAAAACTGCCAGTTTATGATTTCCTATCAGGATTAATCCACATGTACATATGATTGGGCGCATAAATTATTTTCCCACTATTTCAGTTAAGAGGCATTAAGCACCTGAACAATTAATACAACACATACTTTTGAATGCTCATCATGTCATAAATAATTTTACGTTTGTGCCAATCTGTATGAAATAAGGATCATGTGTGCAGTTCTTGAAGTTGATGTGAAGGATCTGATGAAAGAAACTAAAGTTTGCACTGGATTATAATTTGATGTATTTTCATTTGTAGTTGTTTTAACATAACTTAGTTGTGTGCTTGAGTACCTCCTATAAACAGTGTATGCCCTACAACTTTGTGTGCTTGAGTACCTCCTATAAACAGTACAGCTTCGTGTGAAATACAAGCGATTAGTTAGGCCATTTTAGTACAGGACTACAATTTTCCTTACATGACCCATCCCACAAGAACTGTGATCTGAGGGCCCGAAAGATGACACGAGTCCAAAAACCTAAAGTGTTAGCAGTAATTAAAGAAAACAAAAACAGGTTATGAAATGGCATTGCTGATTTTTCTGCATGGACATGCTAATTATTAATTAATAATGTTTATGAATGCTCTTTTTGCTATGTCATATTTCAATCACTAAAAGTAACTGATAGACATATAAAAATTTTTAAATGCAGAATTTTTCTATAAAACTTCATTATCTGTTTGCAATTTCAAGCCATGTTACAGGAGTAATATCAACTTTGGGGCCGTGCCATAGCTCAAGCGGTTAGTCGCTGGATTTCCACTGCAGCGGCCTGGGTTCGATCTCGGGTCTGGTCAAGTGGGATTTGTGGTGGATAAAGTGGCACTGGGGCAGGTTTTCTCCAAGTACTTACGTTTCCTCTGCCAATCTTCATTCCACCAATTACTCCACAGTCACCCTCACCTATCATCTGGGGCTGGTACAATAGGCCAGAAATGGCCGCAGTACAAGGGACTTAGTCTCACCCCACTAGCAATAAGAAAAACACATCAACTTCTAATGAAAATAATTGCTAAGCTCTGCCTCAGCACACCTGCTCATAATTTTAAGCATGGATGTTCTGGAATAAGATGTATATGTTCAGTGCTGTAGCTAATAGCCTGTCACTGTGCCAGTTGAAATAAGTCTGGCTTGCTGATTATAATTAATCCTTTCAAGGCCAAGTAACACTATTCTAAAAGGTTCTGTTGGTGGTGCATAACACTCAGGATTACTGAGTTTTTGGATTTTGTTCATCACATGGTATTTTAATGAACACAATGTTGTCAAAATGTGTTTCCATTCTCATGTGAAAGGCTGGGGTGCACCTATTCTGTTCAGTCCATTTGTAAGATCTAACCTCAATTACTGGACCTCTTTCTAATGGACACAGCAGTGTAGGTGCCTCCCAACTAAAACATATTCAGTCTCTGAAGCGTGTTCTTCAGAATGCCAGATGATATATGAAGACCAAACCTTGAGTAATGCCTACAATTCTGTTGTGTTTATTGGTTTTAGCATAATATGGCATGGTCTAATAATGGAACTGTTACAAGGATCCCAACTGGGCTTTGTGATTCCTGTTGTCTATATGAATAAAAATAGCTATGAGTTAAGGGCTTAATATGTTCAGTATGAAGTGGGAAATGTACTTTCCCACTAACAGCAAAACTAGAATAATTCTTTTTTAATAGTTTTATTAAATGGTACATGATGTAAAAGACTGGATTTACAACTTTCAAATGAAAGTTTTTTTATGTGGTTTACAGGTCTAAGGATCTACTAGAAATACAAGGAAAAGTAACTGATTCATGTGATGTGACACTTTCATTGCTGTTGGCTTTGTTAAGCATTTTTATTTGCAATAAAGGAACGTAAGGCCAATAAGCTGCAAAAAAATCATGAACACATTTGGAAAATATCTGTAGGCATAATTGTTTCAGCTATTAAACATAACCAGGCTCACTGGCTCCAAACATATTGACAGTATCTAAAGTTCATGGCCATCAGTAACTTCAGACCTTACAAGTGGAATGTCTTATATTGTTTATTAAACAGCACTTGTAATTTAGTATATAGGAGTTTGTGATTAAAAACTGATAATTATCATCAATGTAGAGTGACGTTCATTTTTAATTCTTTAATAAACACACCTAGTTCTTGGTTTTGTTCTTCACACGTAAAATACATGAGTAAATCCTCATTTATCTATAATTCTATTATTCTCATCGCACCATTATTGCAGTCTGGAACTTTTAGAAAGGGTAAATAAAAAACAACTTGATAAATATGAGCAAGAGGAAGCACGTGATAATGATAAGTACACTGAACATGCAAAAATTATTATTGAATGAGATTAATATATTTCATGATGACAGCTAGCCTTCTTGGTTTAAGCACCCTTCGGTTTTATTTTATCTCTTGTACACCTTGTTCTGCACTTATATTCCATTTGAAGTTTGCTGCTGCTGAATGTGCAACTCCAGTGTAGTGACATTCTTGGGGCCTGAGACAGTTTAAATGTTGGCCTCCCTACATGCCTTAATATCCTTGCATCCCCTCATCCTGCTCTACACAAAACTAAACATGCCACAGAAACTCACACATCTGTTACCAGTATTTTCAGTTGGAAAATCCTCTTTCTATAGTTCTGTTTTACTTTATAAAACTCACAATTACTGGCAATACAAAGATATTTAATTAACACTGTTAGGTACATGGCCGATCACAGTGACCGCGTGATCTAAGATATGATACTGTCCTCGCTCACTCAAACACTGGGATTATGGGTTCGAATCCCACTCGAGGTGTGGTTGTATGTCTGTGTTTATTCTGTTTGCGTAGGTAGCGGCCTTCCTGTGGACTGATCCCCCATCCAAGGAGTCCTACTGACTGTCTTAGGATTAAGAAACTGAAGTGAAACAAAGCGTTTCATGGATGCCCTTTTTTCCAATGTGGGAGCAACAGGAAAGAGAGAGTGAGAGATTAGGTACATTATGTAAGAGATGACATATGCATACTGTTTTTGAAAAATATGTAGATATGAAATAGATAAATAGGGGGCCCCATGAGGTAATGACTGAGCTCCCATTTCCCCGTGTCATTATAATATTGCTTTGATGTACACATTGTATAGTCATCAAATCTGGATCACAATTTATGAAAAATGTAATAGTCCACTGACCTACTTTGACAAGCTGGAGATGTCCATTTAGCCAGTTGTGTTAGCTACTTTAATGGTTGTGAAATGTCACTAGATGAAAATTAAAATACACTGATATGTTGGGATTTTGGACTTTATCGATCGTCCTAGTTTTTAAGATAACAAATAAAAACATGACGTTTCGGAAACTGGATCTGTTTCCGTCCTCAGGTGAAGGAAAACAGCTATTCAGTTGGGTCCCTTAGAAAGAGCTAGCCTCAATCACTGGTCCAATGTGTTACACACCATCGTCAGAATCCTACAGTAACTGAAAGTTGAAATAGTTCACTTATGTGACAAATTTTTATCTGTGATAACTCCTATGCATTTAATTTGAAATCTCTTTATTTTGTCTAGGAATCTGAGTACAGAAAATTAAAGTAAATGTATTGTCATGTACAGTCTTTGAAGGAAGTCAAACAAATTTTAAGAAACCACTTGGTACCACTATTTTGCCTCAAATCAAAACAAAGCCCATTAGTATTTTCACAGCAGCATTTGTTTAACCTTGAACAAAGTCTGGTATTGATAACGTTGTTCCAACACTGCTCTGATAGTGAGAAACACCATAAATTTCACTGTGTGCATTTTGAACTTGGCAGGCTTTCACCAGAAGGTGTTGACATTTTCCTGGATTGTTTGTGTGGAGAGGAATGTAATAGAGGCTATTCACTGCTGAAGCCCATGGGCAAATACATCCTGTATGGTATGTATATAAAACTTTCGTGTCTTTTAAAAAAGATAACTTGATCAGAATTTGTCTGCCAGAGTTCACTGTAATCAACAGATAATATGTGTTGTGTTCACTTGTAGTCATCTTTCTTTAACTAATTATATTTCTCTTTATTTGAGGCCTACATTAAGGAACAACAGCAAAAATGTGTCTTATGGGAAAGAATTATGTCTTGGTGAATTACTGAATTGTCTAATGGCTGTAGATATTAACATAAAAACAAGCCCATAATCATGGGTACCAGCCAGTATTTCTGTCAGGGTCAAACTAGGCAGTGGTCTTACGGGTTCACCATCCCAGCCTAAACCTTGTTGCTATGATGATTTCAAGCAGTAGTTATTTATATAATAAAATAAGATTAATACAATTAGGTTGTAGTTATGTGCTTGAAAGTCAAATTGTAGGAAATTTCCAAGCCAATTTCCAAGACTGGTCTGAAAGTTACTGAATAGAATACTAGAAGAGGCTAAAAGTGAAGGAAAGAGTTGGATATAGTTAAGAACAAAAGGTATTTATGCAGTTCCTTGGAACTTTCAAGGAATAGAGGAATAAGACGTCATACAGCTATACATCAACAAGCAGCCTTTGGGGATTCTTATTAATTCTTCATATTTTCCATGAGATATAGAACTACAGGAATGTCTGATGTGTGGCATTATCACTAAAACAAAGCTCTGTCCTGCCATCTCTTGATATGTTATACTAATCATTGTCAGTACTCTGTGAACTTGATTTTTAAGATACTATGAAAATGTAAAACAAAAGAAAATCTTTCTGCTGGAATTGCCAACTTGGAAAGGGTTAAGCTTCCTGGATATATTGCATTTGTTATTAAATTAAAAAGAATTGTTCTACTTATCCACATTATCCTACATCTGGAATTCTGTAAATCATTATTGACACTGTCATAAACAGTCTGTGTGGAATATATTACTTGAAGCTTTCACAGATACTGCATGTAATGAAGTCAAATTTACATTAAAACACGCTCACATACTGCTAAACAGTAAAAGTTATTCATATTCTTCAACAGAATAGTAAAAGGTCAATTTTAGGAAGTAATTTTATTATTATAGTCCATTCAGTAAATAATTGTTTTGTCTGCTTTCCTTACAGGATCATCAAATGTTGTGACAGGCGAAACAAAGAGCTTTTTCAGTGTTGCCAGATCAGTAAGTATACATGAATTATAACATCTGTTAACCTTCAGAATCTGAAATTCATCTGAATCATTTCTGAAAATTAAGTTTTTATCTCACAGAACACACTCTGCATCTGTAAATGAAGAGATAATTTGGGAAAACTAAGAAAAAGGAAGATATTAATATAGATATTAGGAACATGCGTTGTGAGTAGTGACTAAACTGAAGTGACTCATACATAGTAAGGCACATTGGTTGCTTTTGTGAACGTGAATTTCTTGAGCACCTTCAGAAGGAAGATTTCATGTCCTTTAGTTTTTGATTAGTTATGTCTAATCAAGGAACATCTCTTGACTCCTTGAAACCTGAAATTCATCTAAATAGTATTTACAAGTTAAATTTGTTTCCACCACAAGAAATACACTCCATCTCCATTAAGAAAAACCAACAGGTTTTATTTATAACCGTTTATTCTGAGAATCTTACGAAACATAAGTACACTCTCTGGCTAAAATGTAGTTTTGTTAACATTACACCAGGTGGTACATATAGTATCCATTGTGCTTTAAAGAATTAAGTCCCTGTCTTGACCAGAAGCTGAAATCTCCAGAAAAATTTTTGTTACTATTCATGTATGTAGGTAAGTAAAACTAAAATGCCTCTCTGTGCATAAGTAATTGAGCACTACACCATGAAGACATAGGGGGGAGTGGCTGTATATATCCATGTTTTCTTGACCTCAGCACTAGTTGGATATGAGTGGTCAGCTTCAAGCTCCAAGCACTTTACCCTCGGAGAAAGAACCCCCAGTACCAATTGCATATGAAGCTGGGTGGACCCCAGAGCTAGTCTGGACGATAAAAGTAAAAAAAGTAAAGCTATCCCTGTAACAGGCTGTGAAGGCCCATAGTGTTGTGAGATATTGAGGGTCCCACATTTTCTAGACAATCAGCTCAAAGATGGTGGTAAGGTTGTCAGCCTTATGCGCTGGCCGTGCTTTACTCCCGAGGAAAATTATTTAATTAATTCCTGGTACTGTGAAGAGAAAATTCTTGACCCTATCAGGACCTGAACTCTGACCCCTCAGTCATCCATCCTATAGCCAGTTACTATACTGACTGTACTATCCCAGCTCCCATTCATATATCTGTGCATGTGTGTAAATATCAACAATGTTACAGAAGCAGTTTTTTCAAAAACAGATAAATAAAATACATCATTAGTTATTCCATGCAAAGTTGGGACTTGTTCAAGAACTTTGACCTAAAAATACACGGCTTCAGTCAAGGTTCAGAGAACCTTGCTTGCTTCTGACATCATGCTGGAAGTACTGATGATGGCACATGGACATTGTCGTTTATGCCTCCGCCTGAATTTCTTTTACATATATTGATATCACAAATCTTGCATACGAATATGGGTTATCGGGGTTTAAAATGTCACAACAAATTTATCAAAATGTATAAGGAATTTGATTGGCGTTTTCTTGTCTCTCATCAAGAGAAACATTTACAACTTCCATATTGTGTAAATTAGATAAGTGTGAAATTGAGTTATCGTAATGTGGTGTGTTTTGAGTAAAGTTGGTATTTCTCTATCCCCCCCCCCTCCTCTCCACCCCATTAATAATATGGCTTTCTTGGTGGTTTAAGAGGAGTCTGTGACAGAATTTCAACAACAGTAATAAGGTTCCTGTTTATTCTAGTCAGAGGCAGGATAAATCTGCATTAATGTATACAGATAATTATCCTGTTTATTGCTGTCATAATCACTGAAAATTAATTGCACTTTTGACATTATAACCAAAAATTTTCCATCTTTCTACAATCGCCCACCATTTTCATACTTAGATGATGAACAATTATACATGGCAGAATTACTGAGAAGCTGAAATTTGCTCAGCTGGTGAAGAAATTTGTCACCTTTTATGGAAACCAGGGATTCATTATTATGTTTTCAAGAGCCTGCCTTTGGTCCCTCTCCTCAACCACATGAATGCAGTCCATATCTTTACATACTGCCTCTTTAAAAATTATATTAATATTATTCTGTCATGTATTCTGAGGTCCTCCAAATGGTCTCTTGCCTTCAGGTTCTCCAACTAAAATGCATGTATTGCCCTCATGCATGATAAATGCTTATCCATCTTATTTTCAACACCATAATAATAGTTGTGAAAGAGAACAAGTTATGAGGCTCCTCATAATGCAGTTTTGCCCTTCTTCCTTTTAACTTCACCTCTCTTAGGTCAAAGTAGCCAGAAGGTCACGGGTTCAAGTCCCGATGAGGTCATTGCATTTTTTTCAATTGACCTAATCCTTTCGCCGCACTATGGCCGTGGGATAGACTCAGCCTCTAACATAAATGAGTACCAGGAATTAATTAAATAATTTTCCTGGGGAGTAAAGCGTGGCCAGTGCGTAAGGCTGACAACCTTGAGCTGATTGTCTAGATAATGTGGGACCCTCAACGTCTCACAACCCTACAGGCCTTCATGGCCTGGTACAGGGATAGCTTTACTTTTTACCTTAATTATTAAAGGATAAAAAATTCCAACTGAAACATTGTCTATATACTTTCTGATAAAAAGCCACTTTTGTTGTTTCCTGTTTTCTAATTTGATGTGCTGTATAAGAGAACCCCTCTTCCTCTTCCCCTTCCCCAGTTTTTGATCCAGAGACCTCAGACATCTTTCATATGACTTTTCTTGTGATATTGACTGTGCTTGCTCTTTGCAGCATTTCTATTGTCATTACCATATCATCTGTATAGATTTGGCTGTTTGGTCTCTTATGGCCCCAAACATGATTTCCTTTTTAGAATGTGTAAGATTCAGATTATGATCTTGTGGGAGGTGATGCTGTGTAGTTGGTAGATAGGTACTAATATTTCTGAGGAAGCTGCTGCTTCCATTTTTATATTAAACTTCTCTAAAAAAATTGGTGCCTCTCCACCAAACTGCATGTTGCTATGTCCCAGAAGACTTGCTGCCATGAGAATATAAAATGTCATGATTTACAAGATAGAACTATAAAAGGTGTTAAATCTTGCCTTATTTTAACATTTTTAAAATATAACTATTGAAAGTTTAAGACTGATTTCTCCAACAAAAATTTAGGTAGTATTTAGTGACTGATTTATTTTCCAATTCACAGTGTATTATGTTGAGTTGTTTTGATTTGTAATTGTATGACTGACACTTTAATATTCAAAGCATGCGTAGTATATTCTTTGAGTATTTGGTGTATTGTATATCTTTGACTGGTTCTATATCAGACTGGCGACATTTGTAGCCTGTTCTTGATTGATGGAATATTACAATAAATTGAATTGGTGTCCTGGGCCTCACACTCTTTTTAGTAAATACTGACAATTTTCTTTACATCGAAAATTGTTCCCACTTTGCAACATTCTTAAATTGACATGGACATCTCCTTAGGGAACGATACACAATCAGATTAACCAATGTAAGAATGTTACTCATATATGGGTTTTAGATAAATTGGATTGGGTGGGGGTATTAACTGGATTCATCTGGCTCCAGATAGAGACCAGAGGTGGGCTCTTCTTAACATGGTAATGAACCAACAGGTTCCATAAAATGTCGGGAAATTCTTGAGTATCTGAGTGGCTGTGGGCTTCTGAAAAGAACTTGGCTCTTTGGAGTTAGTTCAGAATTTATCATCCTTTCAGAATCTTCCAAAGATAACATTTGATAGTGTCAGCCATTAGTTGTGGGGTGAAGCTTCTGATGACGAGTCATGGCTTGCTTTTGGTGATAACAGAATGTGGTAACTTGTTCCAGTGGTGGCAGGTAGACAAGGTATCTCCCATCAAGCTGTTTGATGAGAACAAGACCCTCTCCGGTCTGAATCTGCGTCACCTACTGTACCAGCAGAATGGCGCTCCCTACGCCAAACGCATTATGGAGTCTGTGTTTGCTCTTTGGAAGGATGGCAAGATTAAGCCTGTTGTTGATTCCACTTGGGCTTTGGAGGATGTAAGTTTCTGTCCAAATAAATTACTTGCTTTGTTGCCATGACGGAGCTGGAGAGACCTTTAACAGAATTTGTTAAATGCAGGTATCTAATTGTGTTTTAAATTCTCAGTATATATTAGGATATTCCTTAGTCACAAACAGGTAGGATTCCAGAAATAGGTAAATCATGTTGGGAACACATGAGCGTTATTTCCCATACAGTGCTGTGAATGATAATTAGGTTTCCAAACCAGCCCATAGAAATCTAGTTTATTTAACTGATAATTAAACAAAATATTGTGCATTTGTAACAAGTAACATTGAAAGCAATACTTTCCAGAAATAAGAGAAACCAGAAAAACAGTTATTAACTCTGTGAAATTTGAGGGCTCACAACTGTGGTTCCAAAGGGTTCCCTGGCTTCTGCGATATAATGCTGCATAGTCCATTGGAAGCCAACTGATATTTTGGAAAAACTGAATAACAAATAGGTTTTTATTATTGTAGTTACTTGAATTTTGGTGGAATTCTGGTGCAGTGTAAACACTACAGTCACCATAAGTGGTTTCCAGGAGCAAGGACTGGTTCATGCCTAGTAATTGGTGTTCATATGACAAATTTAATAAAATACTAAGTTAGGTATTAACTTTGTTTGTATGGTTATTTGTAACTTAGATTTCTTGTACACAGTTCTGCTGTTACTATGTAGAGTGTTACAGCAGTGGTTCAAGTCAGGGAGGAAGAAATGTCTGTCTTTTGAAATACCAACCAAAAGAAGTTTTAAACAAAAATTTTAGATGTTAATGAGATAAATATTAATACGTAATAAATTTATTTGTGTACTTAGAAATGTCTGGCATTGAATGAAATATGGCTGAGTAGATTTCAGCTTGCTGGACAAGAAATAAAGACAGAGAACACCAACATAAAATATGAATGGTATACTTTCCTCCTGTCTTTTCTTTTTTTCATATATTTGTGTTATTTGTTTTACTGTTTGCGACCTTTTGCTTTATTCCCTCTTGCAAGTGCACTATGATATCTAGGATTCTGGTGTATCTGTTGTAATACTAGGATAAACATAATGACTGTACTTGGGTGTGAATCCACTAGGTACCAGAGGCAATGCAGAAAATGCATGATCGTAAAAATATTGGCAAGATCGTACTAGATCCCGAAATGGAGCCAAAACCAAAACCTGCTACACCAGCCAAGGGTAAGGCCAAGGGAGGTGATAAAGAAGACAAGAAGAAGGATGAGGAGAAGAAGGAAGAGGAAAAGAAAGAAGAGGAGAATGCCGTTAATGACACAGAGCAAGCCACAGCAGGTATGGTGTTTAATATTGTACACAATTAGTGTGAAAGATTTCGTAGTTTCTTTATATTTGCAGTTCACACTGCCAGAAAAAAAAGAAATCATTTTGATTGTTTCATTGCATTTGTAAATAATAATAAATATAAGTTCCCATGGAAATAATAATCCTTAAGAATGTTGTATATAGCACTCTCATGTTTACCTCATAAATTCCCATTTCACACTCTTAAGCAGCGATAGTACAGCTCATTCAGTGAAGTGATAGGCAGTGAACCTTTTCATGGCCTGGTGCTGAGTTTACATCATCAGTTAATACCAATAGGAAGTGGTGCCAGACTTACTCCTGCTCCAGCACTGCCCGGTGGGCTTAATGAGCCATCTACTGCTGTACATTTGTATTCATTTGGTTTGCAAGAGACAGCTTCTTAAATTTGATTTCTGTAGTTCACATTTCAAAATAATTGAGAAGATAATACAACAGTATGCTTTCCTATAGCTGTCTGAGTCTGGGTAATCATACTTCTCAATATCAGAGTGGATATATCAATGAACAGCACAAATATCTTAAAGAATTATGGCTCAGTGAAGTATGAAGTTATGAAGTGTTTCCAGCATGTGTTAATGTAGACAAAATCTGTATCCAGTGGTGCCAACTAATGTGAATTGGTACCAATGGTTTACAAACAGTGGGCTGTGGCCTGGAGTATAGTCTGTTTATAGATTTTATAAATATTTTTAATATTGACCTTTCATTGTATCTGTAATTTAATGGAGTCCGAGAGAGAGCTCACTTATATTTATGGGAATATTTTTTTTGAGATCATGATATTCAGAAATGCAAAACGAGCTGTGTCTATATTACATTTCCATTTCCTTTATTCCTGCTCAAGTTATGGAAAACTTTTTTGCTTATCATGTTTGAACACGTCAGCTCTCTATAAAATTATCAGCTACTGACATATATGAGGGAATGAATGAATATGCTTTTAAATCTGGCACAATGCAAAAGTCAGTGTCCTTTGTTTCTGCAAATTAATGCAGAAATCACAGAAAGGCACTATCTTTATGCTTTGGATATGTTAATTTCAAGTGAGTGGAAAGAAACAGGCATGTATTGGTTTATGAAATGAGTTTGCTTTCTAATGTCACGCTTATTTGAGCTTGAATAATGGCTGGTAATTTACCTTTTTTCAGAAACCAAAGAAGAAAAGAATAATTCAAGTTGAATTTAATGAAGCCAATGGAGCAAAGAAGACATGAACCGCTTAATGTTCAAATCGACCACATATTGAAATTTGTGCTGTGTTATATTTTTGTGTAAGATATTAGCATAATATAATTATTTTGTCAATATACTTTACAAATTGAAAGATTGTATGTACATATGTATGTACGTACACCTGTGGTTATATGTGCGCGTGTGTGTTAATGTGCGCATGCGTGTTGCTATTTCTTCGCTTCCCCCCATCAACTGTACGTTTCATGTGCACAAAACATTTTGACAAAATAAAAAAAAAAGGGAACAAATACGCGGGTTTATCAAACTTTTACCTTAAGGATACTTGTGATTTCTTATACACAATCAACACTTGGATTTTCATAAAATCTACTTCATTTTCCAGAGCCCTTTTGAAGGGTACTTTAGCTAGTTCACTGACTCTTTTACACAAGTGTATGTACACCTCTTTAGCCAGTGATATTTTACAGTAGAACTTTTGGTAAATTAACTATTTTATATTCAATTATGTGTGAAACGAATGCAAGTCTACCTCTAACAGGGTCAGAAGCCTAATCAGTAAACATGAGTATTTCACGGGTACATTTCAATCACTGTATGAATCATAATCTGATGCTTTGAATGTGATATGTGGGTCAGTATATCAAATCAGGCCTGGTTTTTTAAACTGCCAAAAAATTATGACCATATATATACAGTACTTTGTAACTTATATACAGTACATATTATGCCATACAAAAGTTAATAATGAAATACTGCTTATGAAAATTACTATTTAATGTTCCACTTATTACATATATAGGACATAGGGCTTATTGATGTAAGACTGAGTTGTTGCTTTATTGCTTATTGATTTAATGCCCTTTCAGCTTCAATTTTTGTTCCCAATAATTGTGTCACGTATAGAGAAAGATCTGTAATTTGTTTCATATAAACCTTCCCTTCCCTGATTTATTCTGTAATAAATGAATATCAGTTGAAGTGTGCGCTTATAAACTGCATGTTTGAGGTGAGAAGGCTCAATAAAGTTGGCAATTAAATGTCACCAGGATCTATTCAAAGTCTGCCTGTCTTCTTGTCTTTTTCTCTTTACTTCCACTAAAAAAAAAATAAAAAGTTCTAACCTAGAAACTATGACATTTTAGCTTTATTTTTAATTTAACATTTCCATTACTTCTGTTCATAACTGTGTGTTTTACATACTGGATCATCTTTTTCTTTTATTATTTAATGCAAGAAACTTGGGAAAACTTAGATTTATTTGTGGATTTCCACAAGAAATAGAAGAATAAAATCACCAAAAATGAAATTTCTACCTAGGTAACTAATGCCATGGGTTAAAATATTTTTTAAACAGTTGATAGTTATTTTGATCGCAATGCCATTATAGAACCAAAAGATTCATCACCAAGCTCATGACATACTATGAATGCAGTTCACACTTTTATAGCCTTCTGGCTGTCAATAAGGCCCAGTGGCCTTATTTTGTTTTGTGTATGTGATAACGAACCTCTGGGTTCCATGAAGTATGGGAAACTTCTTGGGTAGTAGAGATAAGTTTTTCAAGGACCCTGCTCCATGTAAATGGTTGTGTGAAATGAGAGTCCCAGTACACTGTATCATTGTATACCAAGAAAAGTCAGTACTGAATCAAATTACCAAGGGCCATTGTTGACTGCTGTAGTTCAGAATTTATTTCAGCATTCAAATTTGGAATTTCAGTCAGAATGGAGCATACTTAACAATACCTATCCTAGTTGTGTTGCTACAGCAAGCATTTCTTTCAGGTTGCCCTCTCACATATAAAGTCACCACTTCATTCAGTTAAGGTAAGTTTAAGTCAGAGTTGAATGTGATTTACATTTTCCTGTCCCATAGAAATGACAGATGTTCTAGTTAGCCAAGCAGGGATGTGCCTGACTTGTGTCTTACAACCAATTACTTCCTGTTGTAGTTGGAAAACCAGTTTTCCTGAGATGTTTTAACGATTTTCTTCAGCCCCTCTAGGTGATTGCTATGTTAGTGACTTGAAATAGTCTTCTGCAAACTCCAGATCCTTCTATACTCATTTTATGCTAAATACTTGTAACTTCTGCAGTTCTTACAGCATTATTAAATAATCTAAGAATCAATACCAACTTCCCAAACCCCATCTAGTTTAACTATTTGACTGTTAAATTCTCACTTTCAATACCATCTTGTTGACTGCATGTGGGATTGAGATTGATTTGTGTTGCACAGAAAAAGGCATGTACATAAAATTCTGTCTGAGAAACCTAGTGGAAAGAAACCATTCTGTAGATTAAAGGATTTCATTGAAGATCTTTGAAAAAAATTGTGTTATGAACTTATATGATGTAAAATGCAGGTAGATGCATTAAATAAGAACCTTTAGTTTCAATAAGAATATGGATGGCTTTTGAACAGTTAATATATTATATTTTGACTGTTTGAGGATTACTGTATACAAGGGAACTAGTTTCCTTGTAAGGATAATGATTGCTAGCTTTGGTCCTGTGACTTCTATTACTACTCATGTAAATTTTAATGGCATCTCTTCTACTAGTAACCTCCATGGTCAGGTCATTCAAAGATATTGGTCTCTTTGGAAATATTCAGCTCATTTTGAACAGTCAAGGAATAAGTGCAGTTATGCATATTGTGCAGTGCATTATGAGAGGTCACACAAAGGAGGAGACAGCTCAGTTAATGGGTAAGTCAATTTGAAAACATCCAACTCTTTATGAAAATTTGGCAATGAATATGAGATACACTTTCTGCTATTTTTAATTGTAATGTTTGGTATATTGCAAGTTTATACATGCTAACCTTATTTTTATAAGAAAATAAGTGAATTAGGGACCTCAAAAACCATACAGTTAACACATTCCTAACCCCGAAATAGGGCATCAGTGAAATGTTTCTAATGTCAATGAAGATATAATGAAAGTTACAAAAGCCATAGTCATTAAAAAGCCCAGAATAAGGGAAATAATTTGAAGAATTCATTTGCTAACTTTAAATGGATTATGTATAAAATGTGACTGTAGGAGAACAGGAACAAGATGTCATATAAATTTATTTCAAATATATATAGTTATCACACTGCATTTTCATTGTACTCAACTAAGTTTCCTACTGTGGTAACTGCACATGTATCATGTCGATATCTTTAAATGCTGCAAAAATAATGATAGGCATGAGATGGTTTTAGTAACTTGAGTTTTTTAATAAGGGGAGCATGAAAGCTATCTCAGTGCTATAGTAGCCTGAGGTTCATCGTATATCACTAGCACTGCTTAGGCTTGTTGGGATTGTTGACCTTGGAGCTAAACCCTCCCTCCAGGCTGAGTCCCTCTCAATATCTATCAGCCCTACACATCCAGAGCCAAAGGTCATAGATACAAAACCAATTTGGCACTGACATAATGTCTTCTTTTTGGGTGATGGAAGCAGGCTATGGCAGAGATCCCAGACACCCTCCATCATTCAGTGACATGATCAAAGCCTCAACCCCCAGCTGAGTCCTCAAGTTTCCTCCAAATAGACCTCTTCTGTTTTTCAGACATTTCTTCCTCTTCATGAACAGCCTATTCATTTCCAGGAGACCTTTTTCAGTTTAACCCTTCTCGGCCCTTGTCTGGGCTACTCTTTGAACATAAGATGAATGTAGTATATTCCTCTGAAATATTAGTAAACTTCAATTGGCTGTGATGTTACATCCCACAAAACAGTACTCTTCAGTTTTTTTTTTCTTCTTAATTTAGCTGACATCATTCATATTACAAGGAGAGGTCAAGATGGTACAGTATTTTACTTGCATGACCAGCCAATCAAATCATGTCATGTAGTTACCCTCTGGATGCTGTGTGCAAGTTATCATGTCACTGTTAAAAGAAGCTCAGAGAATTTTGTGTTTCACGAATCAAAATTCCCAAATCTGAAACGATTCATATTAGTTAATTGAAGATGGGTAAGTTTATTAGCCGGTCACGGTAGCCGAGCAGTCTAAGGCATGCACTGTCTTCGCTTGCTTGGAAACCGTGAAGATTTCACGGTTTCCAAGCAGATCGACAGAAGATTTCAAGTGAAGATTTTATGTCACAGGGAGCTTAAAAACCCCTAACTGCTGATCCAGATGGTTAGTCCTTGTTAGGCTGCTTTCACGTTTCATCAGAAATGCTGGCACACACAAATACTTAATATATCTTTGTAGACGATATTCTGTCAGTAAACTATGTGTTACTCTGATTACATCATACATAATAAACTTTTTTTTTCCCTTGGCACTACAGCCCCAGTGGGCCTAGTGGGCCTCCATGAACTCCGTTCACTTCAGTTCTTCTAGATCTTACACATATGGTAGGACTCCTTGGGCAGGTGATCAGCTCGTAGCAAGGCCTCTACCTGTAGACAAACACAGAAAAACGCACACAGACATCCATGCCCTCAGTAGGATTCGAACCCACGATCTCGGTTTCCAAGCAAGCGTAGACAGTGCACGCGTTAGACCGCTCGGCTACCGTGACCGGCTAATAAACTTACCCATCTTCAATTAACTAATATGACCGGTCTGTTTCTGAGTTACCACATCTGCATACAGCAGTCGTGTGGATTTCATGCCTTCACTATGAAAAGGTCTGGCTTTAATGACAAAACAAAACAAATAAATTGTTTTTTTCAATCACCATGAATCAGCCAAGCACCATCCAAACACTGCTGGGGACTTGGTGATTATCCTACTTGAGGAGAGACAACAGTAGAGCTACAGGATACAAGGTTCTCATGACAGTGGTTGTGACGAGTTCTATCTTCTGGTATATAATGTCATGTAATCGGCTGACATTTCAGAGGAACATCACCTCTATCTTCAGGGATGAAGAGTGAGCCAAGCAAGAAATTGTTCTGCTTGCTGCCTGTTTCATACTGGTCTCTTGCTTGGCTTCTCTTCAACCCTGAAGATGGAGGTGACATTTTCTTCTGAAACACCAGTTGACTTTCAATGGACTTCAAGGCAATTATATCTTGGAACACTGAGCTCTTGAGCACAGATATACACAATGCAACTGGAGAAAAGCATTTGAATATATTTTATATACAATACATTCTTTATTTTAGTCTACAATGCAGTCACATACACAATTATTTCACACTGTACCATTACCACAGCCTTTCCAGCTCGCTTATACATATCTAAGGGCACTGTCACAAGACACTAACTAATCTCAAAACAACAAACTTAAATACAATATTAGTGTTACAAAATATAGATAATGCTGGTATGGGTTCAGTTTATTATTGTGATGTTTCATTGCAACTTACGCCTATCAAAGAGTATTTAGAGAAAACTTCAACCAAATCACAGTAAAGATTTCAGAATACTTTCACGAATATCATTCAACTACAGATATGTAAAATTATATCTGTAAAGGGCCTCTGTGTGCGTACGTGCATGCACATGTAGGGATGTGGGATGAGATTACAGATTTTACTTCTTTTGGCTTGTTTTGGACTTCATCCATTGTCTGGTATGTAGAAGACAAAAGACCATGACGTTTCGGAGACTGGATCTGTCTCCATCTTCAGGTGGGTATCCTTCCCTACCCACCTGAAAACGGAGACAGATCCAGTCTCCGAAACATCGTGGTCTTTTATCTTTTACATACCAGACGATGGATGAAGTCCAAAAGAAGTACAGTATACACCATCATCAGACTCCTTTCAAGTCTATTACAGATTATGTTAATACAGTATAATTATTAAATCTCTAAGAAATATGTATATATGCATTCAGTACATAAGCCATTCATTCACTATTTATGTAATTTCCTGATTTATGGGGTGGCCAACCTGAAATGCCTATGGGGCTGCCAACCAACACAAATTCAACTGGAAGGTTTCTGTTGTGGAAAAGGGTGGGAAATTGCATTTGTGCTATTTGTTGCTGAAATGTTTTCTTCTGATTCTGTGTTTGATGTTTCCTCTTCCAGTTCATCAGTTGGAGATGATGATTTTGTCTGCATGGAAAGTATCTTCCTAGTGTCTCCTGTATCAGCTAAGATACATGCCTCAATCACATGGCGATTGAATGTTTCTGCTTTATCAGCATACACATGGTGTCCTGCTCCTGTAATTACCTGCAAATTTGTAAGTAAAGTGTTAAAGATTCCTATCTCCACTTAATTTGATATGCGGGAGCCACATGACACATAAAGCTTAGGGTCCAGTTAGAAGAAATGTATACATAAAATGACCTTTTAGAGTGGTCACTGTATGTACCCTTTCTTTTACGATAAATAATTATGTATTTTGCGTACAGAGCATATCATATGATTCTCAGAATAAACAGTGATTAGCTGTCTAAAAAGCATCTATAACAAACATGCAGTATGCTTTTCTGTGAAACAGAAACTAAATTCAAAAATATTATTTAGGTGAATTTTGTGCTTCAAAGGGTTAATGAGGAGGAAAATATTAAGAGAGATATTGCACTTTTAATTTTTAATATACTCTGTGATAACCAATACAAAAAAAAAAACTAGTAATGAAACTAATAGTAATTATATGAGGCACTTTTCAAGTCAGAGAAACTTTCATTACTTTTTAATTTCTTTATTATTTTGTGTTCCATGAGTAGCTGAGCACAAATTTGTTTTTATTAACTGAGGCAGATATACCTGAACATTAACATATGAGTCAGGTCGCTTCTCAAGGATCAACTCTCCTGACGCATTGTCAACCCATGATCGTGAACCATACAGTACTGTGATAGGAATATCTTTTCGCAGGGTATCCATTCGATGAATCATAGGGTGCTTGGCCCATCCAAAACTAGCTGCCATGGCACGGAAGGCAGCTTCACCTCTGTAAACAGAAAATATTTACACAAACACAGTAATAATGTTTCGATCCACAGCAAGAGTATGCTAAAGAGCTCTTAAAATTTTCAGTTACTTGTGTCTGTTTTCACTATTTCTGCTTCCTACTCTACAGGTGCCCCTTGCTCGAGACTTTTCAAAGTATTTCCTCCAACCGTTTTATTAATTCTCCTATTTACATGTTCTTGTCTTTCAAATTCAACATCTTCCAACTGGTGTCTATGGGCTTCATCATTTCACATAACAACTGGTATGTTCTCTCAGCCTTTCCCTATGACTGTCTCCCTGCAATATTCTTTTCTATCCTTTTTATCTTCTTTTACATTAGTTCCTTCTCCATTTCACATTAAAGTCAGTTCGACCTATTCAGTCTTAAACATCTCTCCAAAAACTAATACACATGCAAGATTCACCAAAGCTTTTTTCTCTGGTCCAATACACAGCATTCTGATTTACAGATCAATATAATCCCAAATTTGCACTTTATATGTATTGTTCTTTTTCTTTCCGCATTCCCCTGTTCCATTTAATTACTTGCAACATCCTTTCTGAATCTTAGACTCGCTTCACCCTCCTTTTGTTATTCTTTCATGTAGAAAATAAAAATTGAAGCATTTAAAATTCCGAAAATATTTCATGTATTCTTTCCAGAGGCCAAATTATTAATTTTTTTGAAGAAAGCAGTCTTCTGGGATTTGGCACCGTGTATATGTGGTGTTAACCGACGTTTCGGAGGAACGTATCGCCTCCATCTTCAGGGTATAAGGAAAAATATAAGAAATCCGCAAGCAAAGAGACCGTGAGAACCGTCTGTGGTGTTAACCGACGTTTCGGAGGAACGTATCGCCTCCATCTTTAGGGTAGAAGGAAAAATGTAAGAAATCCGCAAGTGAAGAGACCGTGAGAACCGATTACCGGTTCTCACGTTCCCTTCACTTGCAGATTTCTTATATTTTTCCTTCTACCCTGAAGATGGAGGCGATACGTTCCTCCGAAACGTCGGTTACACCACATATACACGGTGCCAAATCCCAGAAGACTGCTTTCTTCATAGTCACCGCCGTGAAAACCTCAAATCTTACATATTAATTTTTTTGTCCTCAATGCATAAAGATTCAGTTCTGCTAAAAGCAACAAATCACATGTACGAGTATGTTCAGGATGAATGCACTAAAAAATAAAAATTCTAATGCTTCAAGAACTGAGAGAGGACAACTGTTACTTACGTAGGATTTTGGGCATTACATTGGAATATGTACTGAGGTATAACATTCACATCGCCAGACACAAAAGAAGAAAATTTCTTCATGATGTCTGGACGAGCTTTCTCAATCACCCACTGGCCTGCAATATCAAATGCAGAGTGATTAATTAGCAGTAAACAATCTTGCTCTGCATGTAAGATTTAATGTTCCCATCTGTTAGTTCCACATTTCTATTTTGCAATAAAAGGTTAATACACATATCAAAACCACATTGGTGGTAGCAAGATGAAAAAAATGAGAAAAAAAGTAATATTTTGTACCTTCAACAAATAAGAAATGATTACATCTGGCAGGACTCTGAACAAATAGTGAATTTTATATTTACATACTTACTGTGGAACCTATACTCCTACTAAATTAATATTTTATGAATATGTTTTTTCTTGAATAGGCATGACAAGAGTTGATCTCAAGGCATGGATGTCTGTGTGTGTCCATTCTGTGTTTGTGTAGTCCTGTGTAGGCAGCGGCCTTGTGATGGCCTGATCCCCCATCCAAGGGGTCTACCACCTGTGTACAGGATTACGAAACTGAAAAAGCAGCCAAGGTCCAACAAAGGTCTGTAGAGCCACAGACAGATAAGCATAACAAGAAACATGAAAAAAAAAAAAAGCACATAAAATGTTGCTGCAATTTACATGGAGGCTACTCAGAAATCTCTGGAAGGATGAGCTGATAATATTAAACTGTACCTAGATTATTACGATGTGAACGAAACTGAACCACTTCTGGACAGAGTCCAGTGGATTAGCTTTTGTGATGACAACGAAGCTCTGCATTCCACAAACAATTTCAAAATGAGCCGAAGAACAATTAACAGATTTTATTTGCAGCAGGATACAACATGAAAACATTTATTACACATTCAAGATTACGTTACTACATAAGAATTCAGGAAACTTCATGACCCGTTTGTTGCTTACCGAATGGTCCTGCTGCCCGCACAGCCCAGAATGGATTGAAAGGCTGTGTAACATAAACAATAGCTCTGACCCATAATGGCACGCTGTATCTCTGGGCAATATCCGCTGGCCTCTCTGGAAAGCCCCATGGATCTGCCAAGATGAGATGCTTCACCCTAGGAAATGCAATCCAGCTACATAATATGTGCACACTAACTGCAAAGGGCTGCCTTGTATCAGACAATATAACTGTAAAGACCAAAAATACTTGTTTTCAGACTAACAATGCTATTTCAACTGCAGAGGTTATTAACTTTTATCTTATTTATGGTTTATTTAATGACGCTGTCAGTAGCTCAGATAATGTAATTTCGACTGGTAGAATGATTAGTGACTAACGAATTGGAAAGGATTTGAAAGAAGGGAGTCGTAGCCTAATTTGATGTATTATCCCAGCATTTGCCTGAAAGGACTGATGAAAACCACAAAAACATTCAAGGTAGTTGGAATCCCAGCCAAAATTTGATTCTGACTCTAGAAAGAGGACATTCTAATTTCTCAGTATTTTTGGGTTTGCAGCCCTATTTTAACATGACAGCAAGAGTAATAATAGTTTTGAAAGAACAGAACACTCAATCAGCTGGATCACATGTGTGTCACATTACTGCAGTGCAATGCATAGTCAATGTACAGTTAAGCATCAAACTAATTAAGAGATAACATATTGTGATATGATGGCTGAAAGCTGGAATAGCAGGCCCAGGGAAGTCATCCACTTCTGGGCAACAACCCACATGTTACTCAACAATAAAGGAATTCTTGGAAGCAGTGTTTTCTATGCGGTCCATGCCAAAGGTATATAATGATAACACCAGCCAAGTTGACTGTCGTGAATCGTGGCTCAGAAGTCTTGAGTTGCAAGTTGGAAATCGACAGGCGGAGCTTGCAGTTACCAGTCCAGTCTTGAGCTGCACTGTTAGATGCCACTACCAAGCAGTGGCTAGTGAAGACAATCCAAACCTTACTATAGGATTCTGACGATGGTGTATAACACACTGATATGTTGGGATTTTGGACTTTATCCATCATCCTGGTTTTTAAGATAACAAATAAAAACACGNACGATGGATAAAGTCCAAAATCCCAACATATCAATCCAAACCTTGCATCTAGTCACTAACATGTGACCATATACTCAACTGGAAATGAAGTGATAATTGTCTATTTCAGGAAACTAATCCCAGGGGAGAAAGAGCAAAACCATAGGAAAACCCAGGGTATGTGGCATTTTAACAAACTCACACAATTTCAATATTATTGTTTATCCTCTGTCTATATCCAGTTGTTACAAATCTGAAATTAAACTGGATGTTTATCTTTGGAGATGAGTAAGCTGAATGAAAATGTCTTTAAAAATGGCAAACTGGTTCATTTTCATCACCAATCAAAAGGATAAGAGGCCAGAGTCCTACAAGCAAGTAATTTGAAAGCAAAGTCCGCTGCTAGACAACAGAATGTTATCAGCAACCTAACTTGTTAAAGTTAAACCTTATCAGTTACGGTAAACTGTTTCAGTAATCAGAAGAAACAGTTAGACAATGAAATGTTCTGATGTTTAATTAACACTGGTCAGACTGTGTAGCATCAAATAGTGGGAACATCAGTTAGTAAGAAATAGGAAAAGATGTGGCAGGAAGCAGATGTGGGCTAATTTAAAGTAATATTCTGACATTTGCCTGGAGGGACTCAGAATAATACAGGAAGAAAACCTCAACCAGAATAGACAGCTACTGCACTGACATGTGAACCTGGGACATGCTAAATAATACCGGGTGCAATGTATTTCATCATCAGACAAACAGCTTCTAACACCTCAGAAATATTACACAGCTTAACATTTATTATGATTTCCATAGTACAGACATGTGAAACTACTATTATTCTTAAAGAAAAACTTAAATAAGCTTAACATTTTCTATAAAAATATGCCTACTTGAAGATTTATAGAATGAATGTGTAGAACAGTTTTAACATAAAGGTAATGCTATCCCTGTAACAGGCTGTGGAGGCCCATAGGGTTGTGAGACGTTGAGGCTCCCACATTTTTTTCTAGACAATCGGCTCACAGATGGCGGTAAGGTCGTCAGCCTTACACGCCAGCCACCCTCTACTCCCAGGAAGATCCCTGGTACTCATTTCTGTTAGAGGCTGAGTGAACCCCAGGGTCATAGTGCGGCTGGAAGGATTAGGTCAATTGACGACATATCAAGTGAAAATACTTTCTTAAGTGCCTGGATTTAGACTCACATTCTCCAAAAATATTTTAAAACTCCATTAGAGACGTCCACTATTTAAATATCTAACTATAACATTCATCCCTGTAATTCAATTAGATTGCAAAGTATAATAAAGTATCACACACATACACACACACAACAAAATGATGCACACGGACATTACATGCGGTGTACCACCAACCATCCAGCCACCCATTCTTCCATACTCACAGATTTTAATTATATTAATATTCTCAGCTCCACAATTGGATATGATCATTATCTTTTGACACATAATGTACTTTGGTGTTTAAAATCCCTATCAGTTCCATTACCATGGGGCATCAGATAATTCCAGAATGTTGGATGTACCTGTCAGGATAATGGATGGCATACGACGAAGCAAGGAAACCTCCTAAACTATGCCCTAGTAATATTATCTTGTCCAACTGGATCTCCCGTCTCCATTCCTCTATAGAATTCACTAACTGTCGTTCTGCAACCAAGGCATCGTGACTAAATGTTGGTCGTGAGCTGCGTCCAAAACCTGCAGAATAAAACAACTTACTTTCATTCTTATTTCTGATCGTATTAAAATGTCATCAGATATCTGTAATGTATGTCCTTCTTGTAAGATTTGAGGCTTTCACGGCGGTGACTATGAAGAAAGCAGTCTTCTGGGATTTGGCACCGTGTATATGTGGTGTTAACCGACGTTTCGGAGGAACGTATCGCCTCCATCTTCAGGGTAGAAGAAAAANGAAAAATTCCCTCTTTTTACAGAACCTGAAAAGTGTTCTTTATAGAAAAGATCTAAACAAAACTGAAATGAAGCTCTGCTTTCCATAAAAATGGAATTCTTTTAACACTGAATAATTATTGGTCACCTAGGCAAGGTCATGCACCAGGAAATTAGTTTGTATCTGTTTGTTTTGAGGTGACTGCACGAGTAATATTACGATCATCCATATTTAACTGCTGAACAAACAAATTTTTGTTTTGCAATATGTTGCTATGACTCTGAAATCTGCATGAATTTGTTTTGCAGCTATGACTTTGACAACACAAGAACAACATAAGTGAGTTGGCAGGCAATTACCGAGAATATCAATTGCATATACAGGTCTTGTGGCAGCAAATGAATCAAGATTGAGGCACCAGAGGGCAACACCTGAGCCCAAACCATGAAGAAGTAATATAGGCGTTTTGGTAGACTCCTGGTTCAGAGAGATGGTCCAGATCTTGTCAGCAGGACCCACCAAAGGTCCAATGTCTACGTACCACCCTCGATATGCAGACTTTAAACCTAAAATACCAACAAACTAGTATAAGTTTGCAACATAAAGTATGGAACATCTCAATACTGCCTCTTGGTGAAATACACTGCAGGTACTTTAACATTTACTGTATCCCTAAATGAAATGTCACTTTATCTTTGAATAGCTGTGGTACATAAATTGTTTCAGTCCATGTTTACTTTAAACTAAAAACAAGGTAACATTAAAAAAAAGAGCTATCCCTGTAACAGGCCATGAAGACCCATAGGGTTGTGAGACATCCAGGCTCTCACATTTTCTGTAGACAACTGGCTCACAGAAGGCAGTAAGGCTGTCAGTCTTATGTGCTGGACGCCCTTTACCCCCCGAGACGATTCCTGGTACTTATTTCTGTTAGAGGCCGAGTTGACCCAGGGCACAGTGTGGCTGGAAGGATTAGGTCAATTGAAAAAATCCACCTCACTGGGACTCAAACCTGTGACCTTCCAGCTTGCAGCATAGTGCCTCAACCAACTATGCTACCACGTGTCCCCCAATATGGTAACATGACTAATATAAAGGGATCAGTAAAGGATGGTATCAAAATGTTTACTGAAGGGTTTAAGAACTGATTTTCTTATCATCCTATATCATGATGTCTTACTGACCAACAAATCTTGATTACGTTTGGTACAAATTTTTTTATCATCCTGTATCATGATGTCTTACTGACCAACAAATCTTGATTACTTTTGGTACAAATTTTCTTATCATCCTGCATCATGATGTCTTACTGACCAACAAATCTTGATTACTTTTGGTACTAATTTTCTTATTATCCTGTATCATGATGTCTTACTGACCAACAAATCTTGATTACTTTTGGTACAAATTTTCTTATATCCTGTCCAGACAAAGTTCCCGTTATTTGTATTAATCTTGTAGTTCCAGTATAATATTCCAAACACTCAGAATATTTTAGCTGTTAAATATATAAACGAAATAGCATCAAATGGGATGAAAGGAAAAAAATCAGTGGTATATGTAAGGCTGTGGAAGGAAGCAGGCAGAGGCAATCTGAAGGCAAGCTGATGATTCTACCATTTCCCAATTCTTCATTCTGAAATTTGCACATTATCACTGATACTATATAATCTCAGATAACAACATATCATTAAACAGATGAAAAATGGAGACACATTTTCCAAACTCTCCTATTGTTCTTGTCCTAAGCACCATTCTATTTGTTTCCTTTTCAAACATATAGTTATCAGCAACAGAATAAACCAGCTGAAATACTGCTTTTATCAGAATATTTTGTCTGTGACCATACAGTCTAATAATGAAACTAGAACACTTCCAAATAAATCCTTAAGTATTTTCTTTTATGGAAATTAAAGTAAAAACAAACAAGAACATTGCGATATTATCTGTCTCTGGTTCAGGCGAAGTTTTAACATAAACAGACTGATAAGTCTTTAAGGAATATATAGCCTATAAGAATCTGGCAATGTTAAGTATTTGTATTTGTACGACATCATTATCTAGCTTATCATAAAACAGACCGCAACACTGATGCTTTGTTCATTTGTCTATATACTATGATAGTCATAAAACAAAGATACCCTGGAAGTACTGTTAATGTGCTCATTTGTTTTCAAATTAATGCAGCCTATTTATGATTCTAGTAGAGTATTATGAATTATGAAACAGAAGAAGCATGTGTGTGCATGTGGTATGGAGGGGGGGACAATTCCCAATATTTGCCAATTGCTGACAAGCTGTCTTAGTGGGTCAAGGACACCAGTAGGAAAATGGATGCCATCACTAGGCTTCTCTGTGGAGGATACTGACAAATCTTTCTGGTAGTTTTGTAATGATAAATACATTATTCATCCCAGCTTCTCGTATCTTCTATGACAACTGTAAAAAATATTCTTTCTCGTTAAATGTTACTTACATGACAGGATCTTTTTTTCAGCTGCTCGAAGCATTGTAACAGAAGTTGGTGACCACTGCAGCCAACCTCGAAACCAACTGCTGTTAAAGAAAGTCTGATCAGTAATTAAACAATGAATTGATATCACCAAGATATTATGTAACACCATTATTTTTGTCAGATATATTACCTTTTCCTAATTCTGTGAATGAATTTACAGAAGCCGCATACTTCATCTTCTTTAGTATGCACTATTGTAACCACTGTAATTTATACTTTCCATTTGACTAACATAAAATTCAAAATTATTTTTAATATTAATATCTTAGAAGACATGAGAAAGATTGATAGACACAAATTTTCTGAATGTAACTCACTGATGTTAAAAGTTTTTTTTTTATGCATATATTTTTAAAAGTAATCAAAGTGTATAATTTGTTGTGTCAATACTTTTTACACAATTTACCTTTCTTTACTCTCTTCAGACACTGTTTCCATTTTTCTTACAGATGTACAGCAACTGCTACTCATTTCAGATATGCACTATACGTGTAACACAATGCCATAAGCTTAAAAAAAGCGAACTTCATCAATACATGCAACCAAACGCTTCCACTGAGAAACAATGACCATGAAATTTAAAGTCATGCTTCAAGAGGTACAATCTTTACGATATGACGCAATTTTTATTACCTGTGACTTTCCACAAGTTCGTTATCTGCCATTGGAAGGTAACATCAGTCACCGCGTCCCCAAACAATTCCAGTTCTCACCCCGTTACCATTAACAAGTGCCAATACCCAGCTCTTTGACGTCTTTGACAGACACTGATCTTGAGCGTGTCATATAGAACTGGACTATTGGACCTATTGACCTGACTGACATGCTACTGTAGTAGTAGGTTAGTATTTCCGTATACACAAAGATCAGCGGCTTACTGTGTGCGAAATTAATACGTCAGTGCCCCTGAATCCATATTACACAATCTTCTGCAATCTAGCTGACCTTCAATTTCTTGCAATTCATTTTTCAGAAACCATCATAAATTCTTGACGCCTGGAAATTATCGAGGAATTTAAGATGATATAGTAAATTTGCTGCTAAGAAGGGAATATTCCTTTCGGGATATATATTGGCATGCCTGTTAAGTGCGGTCAAATTCCCGCGCTTATTGTCGGAAGCCAGGTGTTTTGAGTGTATTAGAATTTAAACCGTGTAACTAAAAATTTCTAAATATTACTTGAGTAGTAGAAATTGGAGGTAATTAATAAAACAATAGCCCAACATGGTGCATGTTATAATTTTTTTTTGGAGAGACAGAGAAAGTTCTGGTTGTTCGTAATGTAGCATCGTTGATATGCGGTGCGATATAGGTTACAGGGTCATTTTTCGTTTCATACTAGGAACATCATTAGGTAACAATTTACCAGGGAACCCGTGCACCTCCATGCACGTGAGTATTCACATGAGGTCATAATTTTCCGGCCATATCCAAATTAACATGACGTCCAGGGCTTTGATTTCGCGCCATATTTCCTGTCATTTGTTGCACCTCGTAAATTTTCTTGCAGCGTCGTTAATTGCAGCAGCGGTTTGAGTGTCAGCTCTCCAGTTGTGAAAGTTTCTTCTTACAGTACATATGCTAGGCGTGAAGGTGTATGTCTTGATATTTTTAGGGCTTCAGATATGTGCTGTCACCATGATGACCCCATAGAATTGTCAACCCTTATCCAAGGATAGGTACTTATTTTCAATCCATGAAATTTCATTGCTATTTCTATCGATAGTTTTCTCCAGGTTTTGAAATCTGACATGTCTGATGTTGCAAACATAACTTTTTTGTTATGTGTATAGTAGATGCCTTCTTGGTTGCCTGTAGGAATATGCAAGATATTTGTGGGAATTTACGTTTTTGATCCTTAGCCAGAATAGCTCAGTTGTTGCAGTTGGGTAAGCAAGGTTCGACCCTGAACAAAATCCCTCATATTTGCAACCATAAGAACTCTGTGCTGTGCAATTGCACACCTTGCTATTCCACACACATTGGCCAGCCATATTATCAATACAGTTTCATTGTAACACATTAAAATTCATAACAAACACAGACCTCATACATACTGCCACACTTACAGCATGCAAGCCTCAACAACGTATAAGAACCCTTTAAAATCCAGTAATGCTATTACTGTTTGAATTGAGATAACCTATTTAGTGAAGTGGCTAAGCACAGGGCATAAGATCAGGGATGGATTCCTAATGGTGTCAGGGACTTTTCCTCCTTTCCACTACATTAGAATGGCTCCGCAGCCTTCTCTACAGTTGGAACTTCTGTTCTCCCAGGTAAAGGACCAGGAGCAAGAAGCTTAACATTTTCTTCCCAGTCTGAATGTCTAGGATGTTGGGACTTTGTGTTAGTTCCAGAGTTATGCTTAGTTACAGAGGCTGCTTTATCTTTGTAGTATGTCACTTGTGCCAACAAATGCATTGGAACTAGACCAATGTAGTTAGAAAAGCACAGTCTGCATATCTTCTCTTTTTTTTTTAGAACATAACCAGTCATGTCCAGTCCATCACGGTCATCACGCCATGAGGAAGAAGGTAGCCGCACACCTGTTCGAGAAGAAAGTGGAAGGCATACTCCACGACGTAGTGCCCGCACACCAACTCGAATTGAAAATGGAACAGCTACTCCAAGTCGACAAGGAACCCCTGGGAGGAGGACACCAGGATCTAGAGATGTGTGTGACTTATTATTTTACTGTTTACAGATGTATGTATTGACTAGTTATGCAGTTGTTCAGAATATATCTTCATCTTATGGGGAACCCCCATGCTCATCACCATCATTACAGAGGCCATTTACGGCTTGTATACTATGCCAGTTTACTATGTTTATAATGAAGTATAGTTTGGTTTAGTTTATTGTAAAATTCCATCGGTCCAATCTAGGCTACAAATACGCCTGACGAATATAGAGCCAAACTGTAAACCAAACTGTTTATCTTCCTACTTTAACATTAAACATAACAGCATCTTAAATTCAATATTGTAAAAAAATCATCATACCAAAAGGTAGATGATAACATGTTTATGTCAAAATAAATCACCTATGATACATAAAATCTTAAAAATTCACATTAAAATTAGTAATTACTATTAAAAAAAACATTCAGTGAATAGAAAGAATTCAATAGAAGGTAATTTTTTAGAGTATTTTTAAATTGATTCTTATTATCAGACACTTTTTTATGCAAGGAGGTAAGTGATTAAATGCCCCTATACCCATATAATAAACACCATTTTTATAGATAGAAGGGTAAAAATTATTTTTACCTCTGGTGTTGATATCATATAACTCTGAATTTGTTTTAAATAAGGAGATATTATCAATTACAAAAATTAGTAATGAAAATATATACTGAGAATAAAACAGTAATATATCTAGTTTCTTTCTTCTATAGTAGATAACATTAGGTGGTTTTTAGAGATGAATTTAAAATAAGGGGAGGGTGGGATGAAATTCATGCCTCAGTTTATTATCCACATGAGTGTAACAAATCAACCCATGGAATGCAAACGCTATACTGGATTGTCAGTAGTGCTTAGAATGTGACAGCTGGTTCATATGTATGAATTGGCATTTGTATGACGAAAGTACTAAAATATTAAGGCAGGTAGTAACATATTTTATTTGTAGGGACATGTTGAAGTCAAATGAGGGGAACTTCCCCCTGAATATAGTCCTTATGCCTATGTTTGTTTGGTCCCAATATTGTAACATTTTCCTTCTGCTGAATACAGAGACAAGATGAACCAGTGGCCACTCCAGTGAGGCGAACTGCAGGCAGGCCTGAAATAGCTGCAACACCTTCTCGGCCTCTGATCACTCCCTCCAAGCGATCTCGATCTGACACGCCTACTACTACCCCTCTTCGGTGGGGAGCTCAGCAGCGAACAAGGCCACAGCAAAATGTCGTTGTAGATACTTCAGACCAGCTGTCATTTTCTGCAACTTCACCTGCAGTCAACTTGAACCCTACCAGTCCACTTGCTGTAGGTGAGCTCAGAAACTGCAGGTATCTTTTACCACTGGATATGAATACTTGTAGGGAAGTATTTGCTTTTTCTCACATCTGAATCTTATGTGTTCAGAATTTGTTAAGCAGTTTTGCAAATTTATAATGTTTATAGAATATTTACAATTAAAATGAAGAGGTAGACATTGCAAACGTATTAAAAGAATGAGTTTTGTTAATTACCATTTGTTATTTTCTTTGAAACAGGTATGAGTGAGATTGATTTGAGTTCACCACTCAACTATGGGACACCTGGTTCATTGTCTTCAGTTCGAACGCCTCACTCAGGCATCAGAGGGACTCCAATTCGTATGCGACCAGACATAAGAACTGATAGGCGCATTCGACAAGTGAACGTGAACTCAGACCCAGTATGTGTACTTGTAACTAATAACTGATAATAATAATATCTGAACAGAATTCAAGCTGAGAGACATGCTATGTTATCTGGTGGTAGGGTAGAAAGTGAAATGCATGTACACTTAACCCTAGAGGATCGTGACTAATTTGGTGCATAATGTTCCCTTCATCCAGTTGAATGAAAAGAATTTAAAATATGAGAGAGTTTTTTTTTATTATTTTATATTATGTGAGTTCAAACTCCAGATGATAGTAGTACTGGAATCCTTTCTGTTGAAAGGCAGCTTGATTTTTTTCACATGCTTATATATATTTGTTTTGTAAGGATTTATGATGATTGATGTATTGTTTGACTGTGATAGCTGCAGAGAACACTGTACCAAGACATGAAGAAAGCAGTCTTCTGGGATGTGGCGCCATGTAGATGTGTTAACTCACGTTTCGGAGCAAGCAGATTGCTTGCACCTGCTCTCACTGTTTCTTCGCTTGTGGTTTTTCGTATTTTTCCTTCTACCCTGAAGATGGAGGCGATACGTTCCTCTGAAACGTCAGTTAACACCACAGCTACATGGTGCCACATCCCACAAGACTGCTTTCTTCATAGTCACCGCAGTGAAAACCTCAAATCATACATGTACCAGGATATGTTTTATCACATTGCAAAATTTGTGTGGAAACATTATTTTTTTTTACTGAGCCATTGATTAAAAATGCTAAATTTTTAATCGTTTTTTGATTTCCATCCCTGCTCTTGAAGCATTTAAAATCTGTTTAAAATTTTTTGAAATGTGTTTCTGATTGTCATGGAGAACAGTGTCAGTTAATTTAACATTCTGATGTAATACAGGTTGAATCACTGGAGGCTGACCCCAGTGGTGTGGGAGCATCATCAGAAACTGATCAGGCACCCCAGCTGGTGGTGTGGGGGACCAGTGTGGTAGTGAGCCAGTGTAAGGAGAAGTTCAAAAAGTTTGTACTGCAGTTTGTGGACCCTAATGCAGAAGAGGATGAGCGTATGGAGGACATGAACATAAATGAACCCCTGTACCTACAGAAGCTGCACGAGGTATGCATTTGGGAAATGAGCTCTGAGCCCTCTGGTGCCATTTTAAAGAAACATTTATAAAATAACAAGCTTGTTCTGAAACTGTTGTTTGGTTATTAATATCATTCTTTCCTCTCTGTGTACTTCTCCTGTGTGGCTTCACAAGAGGATTTCCAAGTAAAGTTTTTTTTTGTTTCTATGTGTATGCTACATGTCACGTGCATTTCATCGTTTTTTGGTTGCTTGGAAGCCAGCGACTAACTGCTTGAGCTATGGCGTGGACTTACCCTCGTTACTTCCTCTGTGATGAATTATCATGAAGACTGAGTTTGCCCTTAGCAAAGGCTCGTTTGAGATGTACTGCAATAATGGCTGTGGTTTTAGTTTGTTTATTTTGTACCGTTCGTTTTTCCGATAGATCCATACTTTGGAGGAACCATTTCTGAATGTGAATTGTGCACACTTGGAGGCATATGATCCTCACTTGTATTGCCAGCTGGTTTCCTATCCACAAGAAGTGATTCCAACATTTGACATGGCAGTTAATGAGATGTTTTTTGAACGCTATCCTGCTGCCGTTCTTGACCATCAGATTCAGGTGCGACCATTTAATGTCCAGAAAACCAAGAATATGAGGTCACTGAATCCCGAAGGTGAGTTTGTCATGCATGTTTCAGAATAAATCAGATTGTTCATGTTGGATTCGAGGTTCTCACAGTAACTATGAAGAGTACAAACTTGAGTTGTGTAGCTGTGTAGTTTTGTAGAAGTCCATTGACTCCTTATTGTTTGTTTCTTGCTTGGAATACTCTTCAGTTCTGAAGATGGAAGCACCACATACCTCCGAAACGTCGGTAGACATTTGCTAAACTATGTGACATTACACAACTAAGATCATACTGTTCAGACTGTTTTTGTCTAATGCTCTAGTGCTGAGGTCCCAGCATGATGAAGGGTAGATGATACTAAAAGAATCGTTAATTTTCAGTTCTTATTGCAGTGACTGAATAATGCTATCCTATGCAGTGTAACCCTTTATAATGTGGTAGAAGTTGGACCCTGTTTGAGGTCTTCACAGTAGTGATTATAAAATGAAATTGTTTGCAAATGCAAAAATAAATAAATAAATTGTAATTGCAGTTGTAAGACTTTGTCACCATGGCTTGGAGTGTATGCAGGTTGTAGGTAGAACAGATGAACCTCAGATGTGAAAGTCGCTGCAGATATACTTAATAAGCAATCACAGATAGCTGGGAAGTAGTTGCCAAGTCGTTTGGGTTTCATGCTGTGGTTAATGCTCTCTTACCCTTAAAAATTGGGGTGCTGTGTAATGTTATGTAGAGCTTCAGACCTGTGGGCTCATGCAAATGCAAGAATGAAATTTCAGGTTCCATAGAAGCTAGGTAATTTCTTGACCAGCGGGACAACTATTAGAATATAAGAAAGACCGCTCCATAAACCATTCCATAATTTTGGGAGCCATGATGTGGTTGGTAGAGTGATTGCCTATGTAGAAGACCAGGGGTGCAACTCCTGACAGCGGTGTGGAGTATTTTATTTACTTTCATGTTCAGTCGCTTTTGGGTTCATCCGGCGTCCTAGCCAGTGGAAACTGATGTAGCAGTAATGCTCTAAGCTTGTATCGGAGAGATGCCTCATTCATATCTTGAATAATGAATTAGTTGTCATGCACAAAATAATGTAGCTTTGTAGTTCTTGTGAAGGATCTTAATTAGTGAACAATGGTTTGTATTTTTGGCAGATATCGATCAGCTGATTACAATTGCTGGCATGGTGATTCGAACATCAAACATTATGCCCGAGATGCGGGAGGCTTTCTTCAAGTGCATTGTTTGTGCATACACAACTGCTGTTGAGATAGATCGAGGGCGTATTGCTGAGCCTACACTGTGTACCAACTGCAACACCAATCACTGCTTCAGCCTTATCCACAATCGCTCACAGTTTACTGATAAACAGATGGTGAAACTTCAAGAATCACCTGGTAAGTGCAAATACAAAATGTGTAAGAAAAGTAAGAAATTCTGAAAGGTGTTGTTTAGTAAATGAAGGGGTAGGTATTAGTGTGGGTCCTAGGGAAATGCATTGGGATGGAAACGGTAAGTAAGTGAAGATTAATGTATTCTAGGATGTGGATGCTATGTAGTTTGGTAAGTATATACCAGTGTTTCAGAGGTACCTTTTCCCTCCATCATCATGATAAAAGAATAAGCTGAGATAATGATAGAAGGAAGGGACAACAAGGGCTGAAAGCAGACCAGTAGCAGTGATATAGAACGAATAGGATCATGGGCCCTGAAATGGGCCAGATTGGTAGATAGAGAAATTAAAAGATGAAATACAACGAAGGGAAGAAAGTAGAGACTTCAGTATAATATAAAATAAAAATAAGCCACTGGTAATCTAATAAGATAAAGATTCCACAAAGAATGAAATAAAGACTGAAAATAAGAGTGTAAAAGGAGGTGAGTAGACAAAACAAAATTAAAACAAGATACAAATAAAAGGAAGTAAACTAAAATGTAATAAGGATAAGATGAAATAAAATAATATGCATAAAATTATATGAAAGTAAAAGTGAATAGAAACAGAAGGAAAATGAAAGACAGCATTGAGATGGTCTGTGTCCAAGCCCTTGCTGTTAGGTTTTTTGGCGATTAACTTTTGTTTCCATATCTTGAACCACTGAATATGCTGTTGACTGTGATGAGTGTTCAGTTACTTCTCTGAGCAACATTTAAAACATCGTCAGGTAAATGATTTCAGTCTAAGCAGTATGTGGGCTATGACTGAAAATACAATTGTAGGCAGACTTGTTTGTCTTGTTACAGATGATATGCCTGCTGGTCAGACTCCTCACACTGTGGTTCTGTTTGCTCATAATGACCTGGTAGACACTGTGCAGGCAGGTGATCGAGTGACTGTGACCGGAATCTACAGGGCAATACCCACGCAGGTGAATCCTCGCATGCGGAACGTTCGAGCTGTCTATAAAACGCACATCGATGTAGTGCACTTCCGCAAAGCTGATACAAAGCGTCTGTATGATCAGGAGGAGGGGTAAGTGTGGGAGGATCAAAGTGTTCAACTGATGTGTATTTTGGATGAGTTTATTGCATCATTCGTGTTAAGTAAACATGTTTTTGGAAGCTGGCTTTTCCCCTGTCTGACAAAAGCAGGAAACCCACATTGTTTGGTCCATGAAGAACGCTGCCCTTCTTTTGTTTGATGATGGAAGCAGAGGCACCTTCTGAAATCTTATGTTTCTTTAATCAGAAACATGAAGATTGTGTCAGTTTAATAACACAGCTCAATCACAATCTCTATGCTGATCACCAAAATATGTTACCAAGTTATTTTATTGAATGTTACTGTCATGTATAAACTTTCACAGCAAGGATCACCTTTTCTCTCCTGAGAGGGTGAAACTGCTTCATGAACTGTCTAAAATGGAGGATATTTATGAACGTCTGGCCCGTGCTATTGCTCCGTCCATATATGAAAATGAGGACATCAAAAAGGGCATTCTTCTTCAGTTGTTTGGTGGAACCAAGAAATCCTTTACATCTTCAGGACGTGGCAATTTCAGGTATTTATTTATAGTAACACAGTATTATTTAGTTTTGTGTCATGGTTTAATTATCGTCCTTAAATAAAAGTAAAAGGTGAAGGTATCCCTGTAAGAGGCCATGAAGGCCCATAGGGTTGTGAGATGTCAAAGCTCCCACATTTTCTAGAGAGTCAGCTGACAGATGGCAGTGCTGTCAACCATATGTGCTGGCTGCCCTTTACCTCTAGGAAGATTCCTGGTCCTCTTTCTGTTAGAGGCTCAGTCAACCCCAGGGCCATAGTGCGGCTGGATGGATTGGGTCAGTTGAAAAATCCAGTGACCTCATCAGGAATCAAACCCTCAAACTTACTTCTTGTAGCGTAGTGCCTCAACCAACTACAAGAAAGAAAATCTCTTTGCTAGTTTGAGATGAAAGGAGTTGAAAATTATGTCGCCATATCTTTCATGAAATTCAAGGAGTGGAGTCCATGAGAAGCTAACTGTACCTAATCTGGTCAAATTCTGTATATTTTATGAAACTTGTTTGTCCAAGACTTTCTTTGATTAAAGACTGCGTTAGATTTATGGATACACATAGAGATAGTTTAAAAGTAGATGTTATTTGTAATCATGTTGAGTGAAGTCTTTTTGCAGGATTCATTTGTACATCTCCAGTATAGTACCTCGAAGTAGGCTGCGATTGCTTCCTTCCAGATCCTTTCCAATTCATTATTCATTAAATCATCCTCCTGTCTGATACTGTGTAGCCTGACAGCGTTGTTATGTAAGCCACAAATAAATAAAAATACAACAGAAGGACCTACTGCCATTGGGATGTAATTGCAGGGTTAAGCAGTATGCAATTTAAAGGACTCCTTGAAGTGTTAAGGACATTACAGAACATGTTCTGCTGTGTACTCAGGGCAGAGATCAACATCCTTCTGTGTGGTGACCCGGGTACCAGTAAATCACAGTTGCTGTCCTATGTATACAACCTGGTTCCGCGTAGCCAATACACATCAGGCAAGGGCTCCTCGGCAGTTGGGCTTACAGCCTATGTAACAAAGGATCCTGAAACTAGGCAACTTGTTCTGCAGATGTGAGTATATCTTTGCTTCATCCTTTATATATCTGATCTCGCATGAGACATACTGACTAGTTTTGTTGACTATTGTCTGGGCTGTTTGACAAGAATGGTACTTTGTGATGCCTCTGGTTGTGTCGTCATCCAGGTGACTGGATACGAGAATGTACTGTCACTGTCTTTGTGGTCAGTGTTGGTGCAGTGCATTCTCTGAACTGCTGGTACCTACTGTGAAACTACATGTTGTCACATTCCAGAATTGGACTACAAGAAGTATTTTTGATTGGATAAGCAAAAGCTTCTGTGGACTGTACATTGAAAGTCAATATGTATTTTGATTCCTAAAAATACTCAGACCTGTGTATGTCTTTTAGTAGTTCTGTGATATCAGAAAGCATGAAATATATCAAGAGTTCTGTCTTTTGGGCCATAACACCATTAAGTCCATAGAAAGTCAGTCAACATATTGGAGGAATTTGTTGCCCCAACCTTCAGGACTGAAGAGTAAACCAAGCAAGAAATCACTATGAAGCAGGCAGCAAGTGAACCTGGTTTCTTACTTGGCTTTCTTTTTAACTCTGAAGGTGGAGGCACCATGTTCCTGTGATATGTTATTTGACTTTCAGTGGGCTACACAGTGGTATATCCCAGAAGATACAACTGTATGTAGCGACTACTGTGAGAACCTCAAATCCTACATGAAATATGTTGACTAATGGTTGCATGATCATGGGTCGTCATCAGGGCCGCACCATAGCTCAAGCGGTTAGTCGCTGGCTTCCCACCGCGGCGGCATGGGTTCGATCCCGGGTCTGGTCAAGTAGGATTTGTGGTGGACAAAGTGGCACTGGGGCAGGTTTTCTCCAAGTACTTCAGTTTCCCCTGCCAATCTTCATTCCACCAATTGCTCCACAATCACCCTCACCTATCATCTGGGGCCAGTACAATAGGCCAGAAGTGGCCGCAGTACAAGGACTTAGTGCCACCCCACTAGCAATTAAAACAAAATTGTGGGTCGTCATTCGGTGAGAGGGTCTAATTCAGATTTTCCTCTAACTTCCTTGACTCATATGGATAATAGCATTAATTTATTCCACAGTGGTGCATTGGTACTGGCTGATAATGGCATATGTTGCATTGATGAGTTCGACAAGATGAATGATTCCACTCGCAGTGTTCTGCATGAGGTGAGTCAGCAAGTGATGACTTCCTATTCCCCATCTTTTTATCAGTGTTCTTTCTTTGTTGCTGCTGCTGATGATGATTACCACTCCAAATGTCAGAATTTCTAAGGGTATTATTTGTAGTATTGAGCCTGAATAGGTCAGTTGGTGTAGCAGCTAGGCTATGAACTAGTCAGCCTAGGGATCGGGGTTTGATTCCTGTCAGGTGCAAAGATTTTCCTTCTCTCCTTGACATCCACACTGGCTCTGGGGCCCACCCAGTCTCTATACAATTAGTACCAGGGCTTGGGCCCATCTAGCCTTTGTACAATAGGTACTGGGGCTCTTTCCCTTTGGGCAAAGCTGACTGTTCACCTCCATCTAGTGTCCAGGTTAAGAATGGTGGAGCTATACATCCACTCCCCAAATGCCTTTATGTCTCTTAGGAGCAACTGATTGAATTCTGAATTGAGGAAAACTTTAAATGCAGGAAATTTAACACTCATGTTTGTTACACACAGTCATTCATGCAGTAACAGTAGCTCCTTTTGTCTTCAGGTAATGGAGCAACAGACATTAAGCATTGCAAAAGCAGGAATCATCTGCCAGCTGAACGCTCGAACGTCAATCCTAGCAGCAGCAAACCCGAGTGAGTCCCAGTGGAATAAGAACAAGACCATTGTTGAGAACATCATGCTGCCTCACACACTCCTGTCGAGGTGGGTGGCCTGCATGTATGGATATTGGCAGCCTTTCAGGGATTATTCTAAAGACTTCATAGCTATATTATGATTTTCCTGTAGCCATTGAACATGAGGTACTGGGGTTCATCACTTTCCATTTGTGGGAGCCTTATATGTTTTCATCCTGTATATGATATTCATTCATTCATCAGTAATCTTTCAAGACGACAGGTCCACAGTCTCTTCCAAAACAGTTCCTCCACTTGATGCGATCTAGAGCTTTCTCCTTCAAATGAAAATATCCTCTTCTGTCCCCAAGGTCATCCAGCATCTTCTTACATCTTCTTCCTCGTCTTCTGGTCACTTCTATCCACCCCTCTTATCTTTCCTTCAATAACTTCTTTTAGAAGGCAGTTACCGCATAAGATATGACCAATATGATATATCCGAAATAATTAAAGTATTAATTTCTTCCAGTATCTTATCCTTGTGTCTAATTGGTTCTACCCCTCTAAAAGTCAAAGCTTTAATTATTTTTATAATTTTTATATATAATCTGTATTACTCAAATTGTTTCCTAAGTATTGTGGTTGACTTAAACACCAGCTATATACATATTGAAACAAATTTCAGCTGATTTATTGTCTGTAGTTATGACTGTTGCAGAATTTAGTTTCATGAAATGCTCATTATATATTTACTTTAACCCACACCATTTCTTTTGTTAACCTGAAAATGAATTTCTGCTGTAGTCATTGTTACTTGCATTTTTATGAAAGAAATTAATGTCCTCTGCATTTGGAAGTAGCTGGCTTCCCACATTCATTTCCATTCCTTCCTGAGTCCCATATATTCTAAGTAAACTTTAGTAATATACAAAATTCTTCAAATTCTGTCTAAATTAGGAAGAAGCAATTAAGTTCTATATTACAGTTTGAATAAATATCTTAAATTTGCCAAGAAAAATAATTTTAAAATTCATTATATGTTATGGGAATACTGCAGGTTTCTTATTTTTGCACTCTGGCAGGTTTGATCTGATCTTCCTGATGCTTGATCCTCAGAATGAACTGTATGACAGGCGACTGGCTCGCCATTTAGTGTCGCTCTACTTTCAGACCCGGGATGAAGAAGAAGGGGAACTGATGGTAAGTGAACGAGGCTCGTAGTAGTTCAGGGTTAGTGAACATGCTGATTGCCTGCTATCCTTGCTTTGTGTTCCTAATATCCTGGGGCATATATTTTACTGATCTTGTCAGGGCATCCAGGCTCTGACCTCGTTTAATTTGAGCCTCCTATCTGCTAATGCCAAGCTGAAATGCTTATCACTTTGGTCCTTTGCACTGATTTATTTTTAAGGATGGGGAGATAATTTAGATTGAAGAAGTGTAGAAGGTTATGCAAGTCTCTGACCTAACTTAACCTGACATCTCAGAGGATATCTATATGTATGTAACATGTGAATGGTTAATATAATCATTCTGCTTTTTGAAGTTTATCTCAGATTCTGATTTAATATGGCTTGTGGGGTGGCTCTTCCTTGCTTGTTCGAGCCTGTATTGGGGCTGCCATTGCTGGTTGCATAATTTTTCTGGTATCATGGACTGTAACTTTGCTAATGGATACAGTGTCCATCAGCATTAACATTGATATTCCATCTACCCTCATCAACTTTATCAGTATATCAAAAAGGAGTCTACTTTACTGGCATAAAAGTGTTCAACAATCTGCCACAAAGTATTAAAAACTTGGGCAATAATACTAAAAAGTTTAAATCAGAGTTAAAGAATTATCTACATGCTCATTCCTTCTACTCTTTAGATGAATACTTCAATGTAAATAGAGAATGATGTAAAATTAAGTTATATTAATTTTTAAGCTAAAATTTCCTGTACTTATGTATGTAACCTTTTGACTTGTTCTGTATCCAAAGGTACTAACCTACTTAGGATTTATAGAATGTAAATAAATTCAATTCAAAAGAAAACAAAATGTCTTAATAAATTAATATTATCTTCTCTTATTCTTGAACATGTGAATATATTTATTTATGAAATACCGATGTAGCCCCAGTCTTTGCAGCCCAGATTTGAGTAGTTAAACTTCATAATTTGTTCCTGTTTTCATGTAGTGTTGCTGTAAATGAGCAAGTTATATTCTTCAGAGTTGATTCTTAGACACTAATTATAATAGTTCTGGTATGTTTGACCTCAGCACCAAAATGTTCATTGTCCTGGTGGAATGATAAATGTAGCTACTGGATATTCAAAGAAAGGACTGTATTGATTATAGTTGTCCTCTAAAAGTAATAAATTGTTATTCATATGGAAATAGCTGGCTCATCAAAAATAAAAACTAGGTACTCAGTGTAAATATCTGTAAAGACCTGAACAGTGATGTATTCAAAGTAATCTTGTGGTAGGTAGCATAAATGAAGTATAATGGTACTTTGATGTATAGTGTTTATAGCCAGAAGTTCTTACTTTGAAGTCTCTAATTCTATTTTGGTGCTGCTGTTTCTTTCTGTTTAGGACATGAGTATCCTGCGAGACTATATTGCATATGCACGAGAACACATCCATCCAAAACTGAGTGAATTGGCTTCTCAGCGACTGATCCAGGCTTACGTTGACATGCGTAAAGTTGGAAGCGGACGTGGACATATCACTGCATATCCACGACAGCTTGAATCACTAATTCGTCTTTCTGAGGCTCATGCAAAACTCCGTTTCTCGAATGTGGTTCAGGTTGTTGATGTGGAGGAAGCTTGGAGGTGGGGAACTACTAACTTCCTTCATTGTAATTAGTAGAACTTGTTCCCTTACATGAACTAAGTTCTGATGAAAGGAGTAGGGATTAAGTTATAATGGGTGAATTCAAGAGTCTGAAGGGTTTATTGCTTATCAGTGAAAGGGTTAACTTTGAAATAATCCTGACAGTACATAGGGGTTTTGATGGTAAAGCTCTGCACAGTTGGTATTAAATGTTTGTATGTAGCTTTATGCTTGGGCAACTTTACTTCCAAGGAAAGAGTCCTTGGTATATTTTGCATAGGAGGCTGTGTCAGCTCTGGAGCCAGTCTGAACATTATGGTGAAGGGAAAATTATTGCTTTTATCAGGGATCAAACCCTGGTCATCCAGCACATAGCAAGTCACTTTCACATAGTTACGTCAATATGAATAACAGCAATAACTTTTCAGATCTTCATTGTATAGTTTATGCTTTAAAACAATTGCATGTTGATGGTTGATAGTACAAATATTGCATATCTGCGCCATGTCAGTTTAGAATTGCTCTTTGCCCTTAATTGGTAAATGTGGTCCAGGAGTTACTATGGAAATAGGAGAGTAAGGAGTATTGTATCGTACCTGAATGTAGTGTTGATGCATCTTTAATTCAAGATTGTTGAAGTCATACAATATTTGTGGTTTTTAAACTATCGGTGTACTTGAGGAATCAGCATAATGAAAATAGGAATTTTTAATCCTCAAGTTGAAATGTGGGACCAAAAGTCATACCTAACTCTTTGCAATATCACTGAACTACAGAGGATTAAAAAATCTATTTATTTGAAAATGAAAGTATATAAGTGTGCCATCTTTGATGCAGTTGCCTGTATTAAATGTAGTGAACTATGCAGTGACAAATAATATTACATATGTGCAGGCTTCATCGTGAAGCTCTGAAACAATCTGCTACTGACCCTCTCTCCGGAAAGATTGATGTTAGCATTCTGACCACGGGGCTGAGCAGTGCTGCCAGAAAACGCCGAGTGGAGGTGGCACAAGCCCTGAAGAAGCTGATAACCAGTAAAGAGAAAGTTCTGACACTCGGCTATCAAAAAGTTTTTGCAGAGTTTAAAGAAAGTTCTCAGTTGGTAAGTTATTCATACAGCTTTTGTTTTGTATAAAGTCTAATGCATGTGTGCTAGGTAACTCAGTTGGGACTGCCAGCCCCAGGTTCCATCCATATTTGTAATTGCTGAAGAGAGCGTGTCCCAGTATCTTATTGTAAAGTATTCAGAAGTTGAGTCGCTGTAAGTTTAATGGTTGCTATTTGAATTATTTAGATCACCCTATTATATCTAATGGGACCACCCTCAAGCCACCATGTGACTTGTAGTGGCTGCAGAGTAATGGAACCCACCCCCAGTACTGAACTGATATTGTACCTGCCCTATAAGCTCCCTCATCATAGCCATAGTTGAATTATTGGGATGCTTTATTTGCTGTTTACTTTGTAAGATTATGCTAGAGGGTGATCCTCAGAGGGGCCCTGCAATAAAAATTATAAATCATGCAATGATTAACTGATGAAAAAAATTTGGCACATTCGTACCTAGCTAGATGTGGCGGTATTTGAGTTGTAGAAGATGCTGATATTGCTTTCCCTCTGCATGGAGATGCAAGTTTTGCAGCCAGCAGAATGGGATGGATTGCAAAGTGAAGGAAGTGGTCAGTGTTGCAAAGTACACACTCTTGCCAAATATAATTTTTGTGGGTAAATTATTGTGTGATTTATGATTATTGCTTCAGGGCCGCCTTAAAGTGAATTGCCATGTCTGTTCTTACCCTTTGTTCTATTTGTCTTTCATTGACTTACCAATACAACATGTTTGTAATGCTGTTTGTGAAGTGCTTTATTATGCAGTACTATTCTATCTAATACTTAGTGTTTCTATTAGGTTGTATAATGTATCCCATGTAAATTAACCAGTTTGATAATGACTACTTCTTTGAATGTCTGAACGTCACTCAGCTGATCAAGAAATTGCCTCTTAATGGGACCTCTTAATGTTCATGACCCTCGACACAAAATCCCACTATTGGACCTATAGTCAATTCAGTCTCCTTCATATCATAGTTTTTCAAGAGCAAGTTAGTATCCTGTTATCATTGATATGGTCTCCATTATACTGTTTTCCCTTGAAGCTTTATATATGAAAGTTTTAAAATTAGTTCACCCTACTGTAAATAGTGGCATTATTTCCGATTTTGCTGAAGACTGCAGACTTGCGTTCCACATGTGATAGTATATGAACTTCTTCACTACCAGAATCTGAAGGCTCATCTGCAATGATACCAATGGGTATTTCTGTGAGATTCATCTTATCTTATTCTCCCATTTCCTTCTCAGTCTTCCAAGAAGTTTTTTAGTAAAATTCTCTATATTTGCTGTCTGTCCCATCCTAGCTACATGTTTAGCCCATTGTAGGCTCTTAGCTTCTGCTGTCCTAGTAAAACTTTATGTGTAAGTCATGAATTTCCTATTATGTAGTGTCCTTTGTTGTCCACCTACTCTTCCTGAGTCTAAATTCTCCTGAGGGCTTTTTGTCGGACTCTTATAATTCATATTTCTTCCTCAAAGTGACTGTTTAACGCTCATATTGCTCTTTAGAGGTCTGGGATGTATCCTTGATAGAAAATGCTTCAAGTCAGTAGGACATTAAGTGATAATGTGGCATTGTGTGTGTTTGCTTTGTGTTGTGTGCAGGCGCTTAATGAGTTACATTATACAGGAAATGAAATGTAAGGTCTATAGATAATCTGCTGATACATGTTATTTGTGGTATTTTTTGGTGTTAAAAAGATCTGATTTGTTTTTTTTTCAGATGATTACACGTGAAATGTTTGAAGATGCATTAAAAGATCTTCAGGATGATGGTGTTATCATTGTTATGGGAAAGAGCATGATTCGAGTGTGCTGAACAAAGTTCTTTGTGCTTGGAGGTTATACTGCACATATCGGACTGATGCTAGACGTTGAGGATCACATAGATATCATTGAGAAAAGAATCTGCTGCCTAATACTTTCCCTGTCTGCCTTTGCCATGTCTTCCTTTGTTTATGTGACTTCCTGTAGGCAGGTTGAGTCTGTTTTGAAATCAACACATTTTACTAAGAATAAATTTTCTACGGATGAATAAAAAATATTTTTTCTTTCTCTGATTACAATTATGTCAAGTGTGAATTTAAATCTGATGCTTTTTGTATGGTGTTTACAGTTTAGCCAGGCAAAAACCTGGAAAGTGCCTTGTGACTTATTCCTTTCACATCCTACCTGAAAAAGTCAACATTTTCCAGATCTGTCAGTGCAGTTTCATTGTGAATTTTTATTTGAAAGCAGATGTTTCTTTCTGCTTTAATTATAACCATGGAATGTGATACAGGTGTGATGTGAAATTCCCCAAGGGATATGTTGATAATTAAGTGCCATGCTTGTATTTTTCAACCAAGGTCAATTGCCTGGGTTCTTACCACAGGCTAGAGTAAATGCCATAATTTCTTATACGAATTCCTCTAACCAAATTTATTTTTTGTATCATAGATTTCGATATATATAAGAAGCACACTAGTGCATTCAAATTCCTTTAAGTATGCTTTTGAGGTTGGCGGTCCTTGGGTATTGAAGGAATTTTTTGTCTGTAGCATTGGTAATCGTTCTGGTATTTAGTTCAGCGTGCTGCCGCGTCTCATTTTAGTTGTAAATTTTCGTACTAGGTGTCAGTAAGTGACCGCAAACAAGAACGCAATGGTAACCGTTCGTACTGTGCCTACTTGGATGCAAATGTTCAAAATATTCCAGTTGTACGAGAGGTAGAAAGGTACTTCACAAACGTTTAATGTAACGCAGGCGAGATGGGATTTGGTTAATTGCTGGAAGTGATACGTTGTGTTCAGTTGTGAATCTGCTGTTGTAAATATATGAAATCGAACAAGGACATTGAAGTTTCCTAGTGTTGTGTGTGACTTGAAGACGTAAGATGCAGTGGCATAACAGGACGCTGGACTACAGGTAACCACGAACTTGGGCGTCGACCGCATTGGCCACGCACTCGCTTTTTTTTTCTTGAACTTTTGCAGCGTATAATAGAAATGTAAAAGATCCAGATGGCGATATTGGCTGTTTGAATTGTAGCCTAGGTTCAGTAATTTGCCATGACTAAGTGTTTTCAATGCTCATACAGGGGCGTGGATGCAAGAATCCTTGGAGGAGTAACTGATTGCGTTTTTACCTTGTGATTCATGTCATGTAACCAGTAGTTATATTGTTCACAGTCATATTCATCCATTTGAAATTGTGGGCGAAGTTTTTAAAATACGGACATTAAGAGCATTGTTAATTGCAGTTTGCAGACTTTTGTTAGATATATGCTTGGAGATTTTAACGCCTGACAATGAAGTCAGTTATGAATCGTTTCGCGGCAAAACATGGTATGAACAGTTATTCATGTTTCTTTTGTAGCTGACTGTTATTTCACTGTAAACGTTTACAACCAGTTGCAGGTTTGTGGCATTTGATCGATTACTTTTGTTGAACATATAAGCGTCATCGAACTCTTGCTATGTAAATTTCAGTGGCTCACGCGACTTAGCAACGTAGGTTGACCTAGAAAGTACGTAGTTCATTTTTTTTTGCGTGAGATTTATGATATAGGCCTATGGTCTTCCGTTGTCTGTTTACGTTGACTGCGTGTGCTTCTTGGAGGCTGGTTTATTATCGCGTAGATCATTAAATTGCATTGTGAAAGAAAATAAGTTTTTTTGTTTATTGCAGATCTAGAAAGAATTCATTAAAAATTTAATGTTAGGAACATCTGAACTTGTTTGTTTATTATGATTTCGTATTCATTTACAGAGAATTCGTTGATAAGCGTACAGAAGAAAAATTGTGTAAAAGGAACTCTTTTAAGTCTTAAAAACATATTGGCTTTTATCTGATGAATGTCACAGGGCTTGTCACAGGTTATGATCTGTTTTTAAAAATACGGAAGTTTGGCGAACTCCGTTTTGTACATTGTCGCATTTCACGCTCTTATTTATCACCCAACAGTTTTTTTTTTTTTTTGTTAAATGGGTGCGGAGCCTGTACTTTTAAAGTAGCCATAGCTAAACGCAATGGAAAGCAGTTCGTCTCTTATTGACATTTTAATAGAAGAGTTTGACCCTCAGAGGTTCACAGTTAGAATTTGCGTCCTACCCATCGACTATCTTGGCTGAAATTCGTCATTTGTTTCCTCATTTGCTCCAAGTGAAGCCGGAATAGTATTTCCATATCGTCCATGGCCGCTTCCAAATTCGTGTTTATACACTATTGACTCATTACTAAACTATCAACTGCAGGCTTCATATGTTTAAATGGCCACTGCAATTGATACATTTTCACGAAATGACCAATGAGGCATAGAGATTCACATTAGTGTGACGAATGATAATTTATTGGTACACACACTGTGTAATGTGCTCAAAGTTCCAAGCCCATGGATATCAGTTTGTTTTGAGTGATTCATGCATTCTTTCCTTACGCGAAGTGATGCAGAAACTCGTGTGGGTCATGAGAAATGTATAGGCTGTTATCGTCAGATTTTAATCAAATTTCAAATGAGTCTCCCAGTTTTAGCAAAACTCTGGGGTATGAAATTCCGCTAAAATCGTTTAAGCGGTAAACAGACTGTTATGTGCGCATAGACGGTTGAGTGGGCGAACGTAGACATATGAGGGAGATATTAGGCGCATTTTTTCAACTTTTCTTTGTTAACACGCCAAGAAGGTTATTATTTCACCATTTCCTACAGTTTTGCAGTAGGAGGTCGAACATTTTTCTCGTAATTAATAACGACGTAAATTGCAAGTAGGCGCAACAATATCAGTACTCATTGTTAATGTGAGCCGTCATGCAGCATAGTGACAAATTTTGTGCTTGTACCTTGTGACACTTCTTGTTAAACACCTAGTGGAACTATTTCTTTAGTATATTTTTATCTGTAAGCTTAAAGTTGCATTATTTGAACCTTGTAAGTTATGTATTCTACAAGATCAAATTAGAAATAAAAATTACATTTGCGTCTACAATTGACATTTCACGAGGAAAAGAAATAAGACGTTATTGGTACATAGCAGTCTTCACAGAAACCTCTATGACTCAGTCGGTATAGGGACTAGGCTATGGGCTGGTGACAGAGGAATCATGGTTTAAACCCCGGTAGAAACAAGAGGTTTTTCTGCTTTCTGCAGTGTTTGTACTAACTCTAGGGCCAACCTAGCCTCCTATTCAGTGAGTACCTTGTGGGAGGCGCGAAACACACCACACACCTCGATCTGGTGCCGAGAAAGGTGCAACTATTCCTACATTCGTCATCAGTTTTCATGTCGCGTTACCCAAATACCGCGTGAAGGTACTAATGGCAACAAGTCAAGACAGCGGTTATGTCCAGTCAGAAAGTATAAATTGCACACTGTGGTACTTGGACCTCACTTGACCCACAGGTTATGTTTGTTTTTTCGTGTTACTTTTTTATTGCTAGTGGGGTAGAACTAAGTCTCTTGTACTGCGGCCACTTCTGGCCTATTGTACCAGCCCCAGATGATGGGTGAGGGTGATTATGGAGCAATTGGTGGAATGAAGATTGGCAGGGGAAACCTGCCCCAGCGCCACTTTGTCCACCAAAAATCCCACTTGACCAGACCCGGGATCGAACCCGGGCCGCAGCGGTGGGAAGCCAGCGACTAACCGCTTGGGCCATGGCACGGCCTTCGTGTTATTTAACGACGCTGATAGTAGCTAGACTGTATACCGTCGAATGGTAGGATGAGATTAATGATAAATTGGTAAGGATTTGGTTGTAGTCATAGCCCTGTCGAGGTGCTACGTCGGCAGTTGCCTGGAGCGACTGAGAAAAGTTAGAACCCGTCCCCCAACAGTCAGGAAAGCCGGTGCCCTGACCTGAATTCGAACCGAGCACCTCCGAAATAGTTCTGCGAGCATGGATCTTTGCCGGTACTCCAACGCTTTCGATGGATTGTATTTTTTGAATAGCACCGAAGTTTTTTTTCCAGCTGGTCTCACTTTCCCCTTAAATTTTGCTGTTCACTTGTTGGTCTATAATGCGACTTCGAGCTATAAAGGATAGATAGGACGTTACTTTCGATATGGAGTAAGGCGGACTTTGAGTTGTTAACGATATATCGAAGATGGAATCGCTGAAAGGGAAAGTAACAGGGGAAGGCGTTAATTCGAAATTTATGCACGCCCGCCCCTTTATAGTGACCACTAGACTGGTCAGTTTCCCTGTGATCGTGGAAGTGTGAACCGTAGTTCAGTGACACGGTCTCTGTCTCCACGTTTATCTTAGATGACTACTTGCTTGCCTCATTACCCCCAATGAGGGAGAGGTCACATGGTCAAGGCCCTCAATCTCACCAAGTTCCAGTGTTTGCGGTAATTGTGGGTGATTTATTATGTCTCTTCTCTGGATCAGAGCAACACGCTATGCCTACAGTGTGCTTAGACTCAACATAGCTTCTCTTGGCCAAACACTGAACATCGCTGTTTAGTGTTTACCATCAGTTTACGTTGTCGGTGTGGAGATGGACCACAGAGCCTTTCCTTGGTTTTCTTAGTCCGTCAGGCTGATATTGTAGGATATAGGCCCGTTGCTAAGTAATGACTGTTAAACAGAGGCCGTTGCTAGGCAACAGATTCCTAACACGCACCAATGGAGTAGCTTGGAAGCGGTCCGTACGACAGATGGCGAGGCTATAGTAGAACTGTTGAAACAGTATTTTATGTGCGGTCCGTGCCGATATGTTATAAACAGTCAGTGCAGTTGTCTCAGATTTGAGACTCGAAGTCTCAAATCTGAGACGGTAAAATATGATCGCAAGTCCCAAAGTACTTCGACCCAAGAAAGACTGCACTGGCAAGGGCCAGCAGCATATACAGAAGACAGACCCGTCCTCTCGTCAGAGAGGGCGCCCCACAGAAGCAAGACCGTAACTGTCAAACGGTAATAATTAATATCTGGTCATGAGCCTCAGATGGGGCTCGTCACCAAGACTCACTGACAGACTGACCGTCAGTCGCAATGTGACTTTGACTTTGACATATGAATACTGACAATGGACTTACTAATGCAGGCTATGACTGACAAATGACAGACCCGACCTCTCGTCAGAGAGGGCGCCCCTAATGGACAGGACAGTAACTTTCATATAAGAAGAAATATCTGTGGCTCGACACCAAGACAGACAGACTGACCGACCGTCAGTCGCAGTATGACTTTGACTTCAGTTAATTTTACCAGTGTGGAGGCGAGGTCGAATAATACACCGTGACCCTGCGAGTCGTAGGAGGCGAAGAAAAGGGAAGTCTAAAATTTGAGAGAGTAAAATATGGTCACGGGTCCCAAGTGACTCGGACCCTAGAAAGACTGCTGGCAAGGACCAGCAATATATACAAAAGACAGACCCGTCCTCTCGTCAGAGAGGACGCCCACAGAAAAACAAGACCGTAACTGACAAACAGTAATATGTATCTAGTCGCATTGTGACTGACTGACTGACTGAGTTCATTTGAGTTGAGTGAAGTGGAGCGAGTTGGTGTTTGTGAATGCACCTGTTAAGGGACTGCTGCAGAGGTTCAGCCCTTGTGGGCTGTTGCTGTTAGAAGCTGGTAGTTAAGGTACGGGGATAGTTCGGGAACTCAAGAGTAACAGGAACATCTGCCGTTGGAAGCCGTTACCAGACAACGACTGGTGAAGACACAGCAGGCTGAGAAGACTTAGTACGTGCTGTAGAGAACGGCAGAGTGTGTGGTGTAGCGATAGCGCTATAGTTACTTGTAGTTAAGTTCTGTAAGTGTTCAGTAAATCCAATTACCAAGCCAAACCCCGTCTGTAGTTACTCTATCACGCGACAACATCAACTTAAAATAAGTCGTGGCGTCTTCCTTCATCATTTTGAGACAGACTGCTGGGTTGAATTGGATTTCGCTGTTGCGGTAGGTATTTTACCCAT